TGAGCAGCTGGTCTGTCATGGAACGATGTGGTAATACACAGTGCACCAAGTTTCACCTCCACAGTGTGCTACAATTAGCAAGTTTGAGGCGTGAAGAAGTGAAGAAGAGTAAAGTAATGCCATGAGACTTTTCGTAACATTATGCGGTTGTCATGGAAACATTGTATCGTCATGGAAATGAGTATAATAGGCCCTTCGTACAAAGTGTTCATCTAGCTATGCGTGTGCGACCATTGGATGTTTGAGAGTGAAGAAGTAATTAAAGCAAAGTGGCCTGCGGCCATTTGTTGTGATTTACAAAAGCATGTATGTGGGATTTGATAGGTGGCTATGAATACATGTGTATACAACTTGCGCTCACATAACTCTTACAATTGTGAGTTACACTGAGACACATGTCGTATGTCGTAATGCCATTATAATATAGTGCTGGGGCACTGTTTAACGGTAGAACAACATTGTTTAACAAACAAAAAAGCTTATGACGTTGCACATGTGGTATCGAGATGGACATTCTGAAAATTTCATGGCATTTATCTTTTTCGGTTTTTACGTTACGTGGTTTAAGAAGAGATGATGAGACAACAAACTCGCTATCATAGCCGATACATCTATAATGCTAGTACCACGCGCCAATCCCTATCACTAAGTACGACTAGACTACGTAACCACGCAATGGCAATCAGATCGAGTTAGAGGTACGATTTATATACCTCTTCCGCGGTAACTATTCGACAGCCCTGCGGCCTAACGCGTAGTGGCCATGGCAACCACGCCATCAAATGGCGGGATCGCCGTGCGAGCGGAAGGCAACTACGGAGCTTCTGGAGAGTCTTTCTCACGAAACCCAGGTAGCGTATCGGTCTTCTAGTAGGAAGCGGTGCATGACCACAGAGCCCTAGCTATCCGCTCGAGCCGAGACGCGCACGCGAGAAGCGCCCAGCGGCCCGCTACTATCGCATTAGCAGAGCCGCGCCGCCAGGACGAACACTCTACCACCAGGTAGAAGAGTCATGTTGATACGCATGCTCGAAATGTGCGCTGGCCGCTGCAAATAGCCTGCCTACTTCCAGTTCGCAAGCCATACGATCCCAATGCAGACAGAGCGTGTGTGTTGCGGCCTCTGCTAGCGATGCGCTGTAGTCTAAGATAGGTTAGAAGGGCGTCGCCTGATCAAACTACGCGATTTAGTGAGCCTCGGGGCCCTGGTAGTAGCGCCCTCGCTGCGCTCTGCGACGCCGACAGCCCAGGGCCTCGGCTCACCCGCAGAGGCTGGTCATACGATAGTCTTTGTTAACAAACAACATTGTTTACGTAAACAACAACAAATATCCCGGTAGGTAATAGATTATAAGGGATCTCACAGGTGTCACGTCAGTAAATGGATAGGAAGCTATGTGAACGACAGTATGTGACGAAACTTTGTACACATAATGTATACATTAAAAGACACACAAACACAGTGTTGTAAACAACAACAAATAGCATCAGGCACTTTCTGTAAAATTACTTCTCACTTCTCAAACTTTCCAATGGTTAGACCACACATACGCAGATGAAACTTGGTATGTATGCCTGTAGATCATTCCGTGACGATTACACATGTGTCCGTGACGACCGCCTATGGGTGAAAAGCCTCAGGCAATATCCTTTAATATTAGTTCTTCAATCTCAAACTTGTGAACTGTTAGCACGCATGGATGGTGATGAAACTTGGTGCACATGTGTAGACATCGTTTCGATGACGACCACAACAACAAATAGCTCAGGCACTTTTTCTTAAAATTACTTTTTCAACTCCTCCAAAACGTGCTAACTGATCGCACGCTCATGGAGTTGCATGAAAACATGGAATATCGCATATTATTCCGTGACGACACCAGCATTCATGGTTTTCTCTATAAACAGAGAGAGGATACTAATAGTATGAGTGGAGCACAAGTAATAAATCGAATTTAAACAAAGAGGCATATAGGCGATGGTATAAAAAGAAAGGGAGACAAGATAGGGATGGATACATGAAGCATGGTTAATGAACAGTTTGAGTTACGCTGACACCCCCAACCCCATCACACCGTCCCTATATTGTTGCCTAGGATGAAGTATTAAACATTCACCATTACAATTCCTCATAACTTACAATGCATTACTAGTAACCCAACACCCTATAGAGTCCAAGTGAGTTTAATTAAAGGGAACTGGGCAGTTAAATGTTACTAAAAACAACAGGGACACGATGATAGAAAGAATGCTTGCTTTTAGTAACCTTAGCCCCTATAAGAGTAGCACACCAGCAACAATATAGGGCGGTGTGATGGGGTTGGGGGTGTCAGCGTACTCAAAACTGTAATTAACCATGTTCATGTATCCAATCCCTATCTTGTCTCCCTTTTCTTTTTATACCATCCCTATATGCCTCTTTTTAAATTCGCAGGATTTTTAATTTACTTGTATATAAGTACTACCGTAGTTAGTGATAGGGATTGGCATGGTACCTAGCATCATAGATGTATGGGGCTATGATAGGGAGTTTTGTTCATCTTCTTCTTGTTCTCCTTCTTCTTCTTCAGATTGAACTCGCGTAACTCAAAAACAAAATAACATATAGTAATAAAATTTTGTATGAATGTAGATATCCATCATCCGAAGAGACTGGTCATACTTATATCTTTGTAAACAACATTATTTACTGTAAACAACAACAAATAGCCCCAGGCAATACATTATAATTGGATCAGATGTGTCAGTATAACTCACAATGGTAAGAGCTATGTGAACGAAACTTTGTAGACATATGTATTCAATCACACCAACATCAAAATCACAACAGTACATGTTTGTAAACAACAACAAATAGCCTCAGGCACTTTCTTCAAATTTACTTCTTCACTCCTCAAACTCTCCAATGGTAGCACGTATAGAGTTGAAACTTGGTATGTATGCCTATTATATCATTTCCATGACAATTACATGTTTCCATGACGACAGCATTTTGTTTGAAGCCTCAGGCAATTTTCTTTAAAACCACTTCTTCACTCCTCAAACTTGTAACTGTAGCACACATGGAGGTGAAACTTGGTGCGCATGCGTATTACATCGTTTCCATGACGACCACAACAACAATTAGCCTCAGGCACTTTTCTTTAGAATATACTCCTTCACTCCTCAAACTTGCTAACTGTAGCACGCATGGAGGTGAAACTTGGTGCGCATGTGTATTACATCATTTCCATGATGACCACAACAACAAATAGCCTCGGGCAATTTTCTTTAAAATTACTTCTTCACTCCTCAAACTTGCTAACTGTAGCATGCATGGAGGTGAAACTTGGTGTATTACATCGTTTCTATGACGACCACAACAAGTAGCCTCAGGCAAAAATTACTTCTTCACCCCTCAAACTCACTAGCGGTACCATGCATGGAGATGAAACTTGGTACGTATGTGTGTAACATCGTTTCTATGACGACCACAAACACAAATAGCCTCAGGCACTTTTCTTTAAAATTACTTCTTCACTCCTCAAACTTGCTAACGGCAGCACACATGGAGATGAAACATGGTATGCATATCATTTCCGTGACGACAACAGGTATTTTTTCTCTACTAAAATTATAGGGGCTTGCCCTCTTCCACAGAGATAATACGTAGTAGTATATAAAAAGTGAGTGGAGACAAGTAAATTAAAAGTCCTGCGAATTTAAAGAGGCATATAGGGATGGCATAAAAAGAAATGGAGACAAGATAGGGATGGGATACATGAAGCGTGGTTAATGATGACACCCCCAACCCCATCACACAACCCCTATATTGTTGCCTAGGTAAATATTCACATCAAAACTTACAATACACTGAGTAACCAACCCCCTTATAGAGTCCAAGTGGAGTTTAAAGGGAATGTGGCAGTATAAATGATGACACCCCCAACCCCATCACACAACCCCTATATTGTTGCCTAGGTAAATATTCACCATCAGAACTTACAATACACTGAGTAACCAACCCCCTTATAGAGTCCAAGTGGAGTTTAAAGGGAATGTGGCAGTATAAATGTTGACACCCCCAACCCCATCACACAACCCCTATATTGTTGCCTAGGTAAATATTCACCATCAGAACTTACAATACACTGAGTAACCAACCCCCTTATAGAGTCCAAGTGGAGTTTAAATTTACTTGTTAAAATATGCACTTGCTGGCTGTATAATGACCTCTAAATGATACTTATTTTGTAACTGCTCTCCAGAATTCAGCGTCCTCAGTTTCTTTTTTTTCAATTTCTGCAGCGAGATTTTACCATGGGCAATGGTTTCAGTGGCATTGTTACCTTTGCTTTTTTGGTTGACACGGGTAAGCAGGTAGATTTTCTATGACCGTACCTTTCTTCTACAAGGTTTACCCTTAACGAAGCTGGGTACTTAAGCAGAGCGCCCCAATTCTCTGCAAACACCACCGTAGTAGTACCAGCCTCAGCGGCCATCGGGCAGTTACAACGCACACGCACGACTCCGCCGGCGCCACGCCCCCACACTTCTATAATACATCTGCACTACTTTTGCCGAGACTTCTGCTCTCCTCCCTCTGTAACAAGTGTTTGTCTCTCATCCTCTACTCCAATCTAACATCTATGTGAATGAGCAATCTGGATTTGGTTTTGTGATTGGCTGGCTCGGTGATGACTTGGCTCTAATCAATGCTATGCCTTAGGACTGAGGTATTGCAGCTAAATCAGCAGCTCTGAGCTTTTATATATTATATAGTGAAGGAAGAAACCAGGTCCTGTGCCAGCTCCTGCACAACGGCCAGTTCTTTGGAGTCCTTACCCGAGCTGTGGGTGGGTAGCTGAGGCCAGAGACAGTGACACCAACACCTTGTGGAAGCTGAAAGGGCTATGGAGTTTTGATCTGATAATAGTTTAGGTGGGCTCTCAGGCAATGCTTGAACCATTGGTTTATCCAGAAATCTCTTTGCCAAGAGGTCTCCTGGGGTCTTAGTGTACTGTAGGAACATGGTCACCCATCTCCAATCTCTATTTCTGTTGTGCTACATATACGTCGCGCACAACACACATGGTGCATTGTATAGTACACCTTGGTGTGAAGCAATGAAGAGTTTCATACACGCACGTGTGCACGATGCACACACTTTAGTAGACATAACATCCCATCTATCAAGGCGCCAAGCTCGCTTAGTTACGTAGGTAAAACAGTGATTTAGAAAGAAAGAAGTGAAGAATTGAAAAAGCTAAAGAAATGAAGCAAGTATATACTAATGATAGGTTTTGTTTATTATATAGGCATGATAGGGAAATCTGGACTCAAACCAGGTGGCAGCCTTGCCCTTTTCTGGAGTTTCTCACGTGTCGAGAGTTTAAGGAGGCCGATGACCAGTAACGAAGAGCCTAGCACTGCACCTGCATGTTGCTGGACCTGTGGATAGGTTTACATGCACCTGGCTGGCTGCATTTTGCTAAAGCCACCCTCACTGACTGGTTAGCTTTAGCCATTCCTACACCTTCACCTCTCTTTTTACAATATCAACAGAGCCGTCACATATTAATATAGAAAAAACTCCCCACATTCAAACGAATAGGTTGGCTTCACTCGCCAATTAAATAAGTCACCATTAAAACTTAGAAGTGAATATAACATAGGTTAATGAAACTCCAGCAGTCCTTCACATCGTTGATTATGTCCTGGTGAACCTTTTTTCTATTGGTTTATCATGACCTGTATGTATAAAATTTCGACCACAGCCACATCAAACATTACCTTAGTATTATTGTGTGGAATATTATACCAAAATTCTTCCTATATACTGAAGGCTCTTTCTACATTGTTTAGTCATATGTTTTACATAACTAGAGGAATGCAACACATTTTTGGCGAGGGAAGCGAGAATTTCAATACTTCGCATGTTTTAGCACGTATTTAGAATCACAAATGTTACGTTGGTCCGTTGGTCTGTTGACCGTTACAGATATAAATTGCGCATTCAGACGCCTAGGTTGGGTTAGCTTCACCTACCACTGCACCTGTTTTAAGGATAGCCAACCGAGAAGTATTGCCTCATCCTTGCTTCACTCGGCCTGGTTTACTTACAAAATTGGTGTTCCAATATAGTGTTTGATGGGGTGGCTAGATGGCTTTATGTATGTATAGGTGAATAACCAGTGCCCAGCTTACATGGTCGGCCATGTCTCACACATACAGCATAACAATAGGTGTGCACATGACACTTTTCAAATTCAACGTACTGAGTTCACTTGTCTTTGAAGTTGAGACGGAGGGTCGAGGTGGTGGAATTGGTTTAGTATGAGGTGGAGGTGGTCGTGTAGGGATAAATGACTTCGATGAACTTGAGACATTTGGATTAGCTGGAGCCGATGGTGCAGGTCTGGTGGGGATATGTTTAACACTGGGCTGTACTTGAGATTGGGCATTTGCAGGTTCAGGGCTTCTTTCAGGTGTTCTGCAATGAGAGTAAGTTGTAGAACAGACTTAGCAGCAAGCAAAAAGATGGCCAAGGTGGAAATATACTCCATCCTATTTCAATTGCAGTTCTTTACCATAAATAACAACAAATAGCCCGAAGCGCAATACATCATAATGGGACGCATGTATTACACAAAGGTACGTAAGAGCTATGTATACGAGGATGAAAGTTTGCGCTTTTACAAAAAATATCCTTCCCAAACTTGCTATAATGGTACGACATATTGAGATGAACTTGGTACGCATTCATTTCCGTGACGACTAAATTTTGTTTGACTACAACAAATGGCGTCAGGCACTTTTAATTACTAATTACTTCATCACTTGCTAACAGTAGCCAACATGGAGATGAAAATTAGTACGCATGTCCATGACGACTAAATGTTTGTAAACAACAACAAACAGCCTCAGGCACTTTTCTTCTTCACTCCTCAAAATTGTTAAACGTAGCACGCATGAAGATAAAACTCGGTACGCATAATTATTACATCGTTTCCATGATGACCAAATGTTTTTAAATCAATTTGTATAGGGGGCATGCCCCTATTCACATAGATACGTATACGTAGTAGTATATAAACATAAGTGGAGACAAGTAAATAAAAAAACCTGCGAATTTAAAGGGATATTGCCACACCCCCATCGAATATGCCATTTTTTGGCGGGCGTCTCCGTGCATTAGACGTCGGCAAATTCAAAATGAGCAATCAGATGGCGTAAAACGTGGATGCTATATCCCGTCTTTTCCAAGTGCGTGTTTCCACGGAGCTAGACGCCCACCAAAAAAATGGCGTCTTCGATGGGGGCATGGCAAGCTTCCGCGCAGAGTACTCGCCACGACAACTTCAAGCTCGCTGTATCCGATGCTTCTTCGATGAAAGGTCTCTACGATGCAAAAATAAACTAAAATGAAGACCTTTTTAGCTTCACCCAGCGGGAGCGGAAGACGACGGACTGGACACGGACGACTTGATGGCCAGCACGGCCACCGTCTAAATAGGTTATACTGCTTGTCAATGGAAATACGCAATTTAAACGACCTTGGATCCCTTAATAGTGTCTTCACTGTGCTCAGACAGCTACAGCTCAGGGCCGTCTAAATCGGGTATTTCCATTGATGCGCTGTATAACCTATTTGTATAAAAAAGAAAGGGAGACAAAATAGGGGCGGGGTGTATGAAGCATGGATAATGAACAGATTTGAGCACGCTGACACCCCCGACCCCATCACACAATCTCTATATTGGTGCCTAGGTGAAGTATTAAACATTCACCATTGCAATAATATGTCAGGACCTATAGCTTAATAAGTCATGTTACTGAGTAGCCAACACAGTTATACATAGAGTCCAAATTGAGTTCAAGAGTGGCACACCAGGCAACAATTATAGGGATTGTGTGATCGGGTCAGGGGCGTCAGCATGCTCAAATGTGTTCTTTAACCATGCTGCAGTCTTCATTTTTCTTGCGATAATTTTCCAGTATGTTCCAAATAAAGAGCACCATTTGCGATATTTACTGCACTTTTTTTTTATAGAAAAAGTCTAGTTCGTTAACTTGTCCCTATATGCCTCTCTTTTAAATTTGCAGGATTTCTTATTTATTTAGAGTGAGTTAATGGACATGACCTATCGGTAGCAAAGGTCAGTGCTCACAACTGGAATATGCCCATTGTTAAACTGAGTTTACATGCTTGCATATACCACAGAAGGGAGAGAACTCAACTGTGCACAATGACAAAGAACTGTTCACTCCTGCTGATGGTATATACTTGTATGTATGCACTTATTTTCTCTTCCATAGAGAATGTATGGAGGATTATTACGCAAAACAGGGCCTACAAAATCAGACAATAACAAATCACTACAATTCAGTAGCATGCAGTTGAAAATAGTTATATGCCATCTCTCTATCGGAAGACTAATAAAAATGCGAACACAAACACTGACAGTTCCATACCTTTTTTCCGCTGTTGAGAAGGATAATGATTTGGAGTGTAAGACAAGGTATATTATGAAAACAGCAATAATCACAATGATGAACACCATGACAACTGTTCCAATCACCGCTGCAGCTATGATTCCTCCGTTAACTACATTAAAAGAAAAAATACACCAGTTATAGCACTATACTGTGATTTCTTAGTGGTCTCTTTGTCAGCTGGGATTCCTAACCACACTTTAAACCCCATGAATTGAATGTTACTATGCCAAAAAAGATTTTTATTGTAAGGTGCAATGAAAGAAGAGGGAAAAGGAAAAAGAGAGCACATAAGTGACCGAGTGGACTGCCAACCGAGACTCCTTGACTGACAACTAGTTTGCTCCGTAGTAGTACAAGAGAGATTAATTACATATGCGCGGATGCCTTTGCGATTTCTAAAAAGAGCACAATTTCCGCTCCTACATATACAAAACGCATGAAAATTTATTGTTTTTTGGCATAGCAGCTTTGAGCTATTTGTATCATACATATCAATAATGTGGCCAGCAGAGCCTGAAGAACCTTGAAAGAGTCTGAATATTAATGTTTGCTCAGTGGTTTGAGAGGAAGAACTTATGCATCCTTAAAACGAGTGAAACACATATACAAACATACACATATACAAATATGCACAATGTTCAGCACATGCGCAAACCTTTATACTATAAACAAACTAGTTTTATTATTGGCATTCGTACCTCTACTGTGATGTTCAGCACCTACAACTGCAATTGAAAAAAAGAACATTTTTACATGCATACAAGCCTCGCATACAGGACACATGAAACATTCTCCTTGTGCAACACAAATTTCACATGATCTGACCTGCTGCACAAACTGATCCCGTATAGCCCACTGAGCAAGAACATTGGTTGTCATTATTACATCTCTGTAAAGACATTTAGAATTATGTAAGTGCTAGTTATGGACAGTGCCTTCAACAATAATGTGTCCCATACAGAGTATTTGGGTCGGGCCATTAGCACTGTCTGCTCAGCTGCCCTGGAAAAGTGATTTCTCCAACTGCGTGTGTTGTGGTTTACTGTTGCTATCCAGGGGGTCATTGAATTGTTCGCTGATACAGACACACACAACACACTATTCTAAAGACTGGCATCCAGGGTCTTACTCTTGTGTGTGATAGAACCATAAGTAAAACCTCCCCTCTCGCTACAACTCATCTGGTTACAAATACTATGTTCCCTATAATTTTAAGGCCTCCCTTAGACATAAATGGATGTAGCATCAAGACACCTTAGGCCCAATACACTTTTTGAAGCAAGTGCCCGGTCTTCAGTGGTAATTTTCTGCTGTAGGCTAATGTTGCTTTTTCGCTCTAACGTGAGCTAGTGAGTAGGGTTTAGAGCAACACTGGACCCGATACACATCTTGTGCACCGTTCAAGGAGGAAATTACTGAAAAGATGCGTATCGGGTCCAGCGTTGCTCTAAACCTTACTCACTAGCCCACGTTAGAGCGAAAAACTGGCCTTGTTGATGGGTTAGATGGGTTCACGTGGCGTTGCCCCCCTTTATGCACATGAGTATTGTGCACATCAACACTAACCACACTACACAATATTTTGTTGAAGTAGCAAAAATTGATGGGCATGTTTCTGTAGGGCAGCTTTGTGTATCTAGTAGAAATGGCTAGCTATTTCGAGCAGCATTAGCCTACAGCAGAAAATTGCCACTTGAAGTGCTACGCAGAAGTTACATTTTCTAAAATATTGGAGGTTTTCAATTTGGCGATTTTATCTCCCGATCACCAAGCCTACAAAGTCACTATAGCAACACAGAAAACTCAGATAAAACACACCAGGCATTTCTTACCCCTCTTCCACTGCAGACTTTAACATTGATGCTGTCCACTGGGCAAGGAGGAATATCAACTGATGTAACATTTACACACTCTGCATATAAGCATACCTGTAAAATGTACATGAATTATGATGGTATCAAAAAAGTAGTAATGTTACATAGCAGATTCTCTGATATAAAACTGTGTGCTTAAGCGAGTATATACACAATTTGGTAGATGGTTGACTGAAGAATGGTAGAAACGTAACGACCAACTTCTGCTGGATATCCAACTCGGACATTGTGACTGGGAGTTCAGTCCCCTGGCACTACACATGCAGCTAAAACTCCAAGATAGAGAGCTGGTTACTAAGGCCTGTCTGGGAGCTGCAGCTCAGTGCATAGTGCACTGGACTTCCAGTCATGACACCTCAGTTGGACTCCTGACTGCAGTTCTTTGTCTTTCCCTCGTTGCATGTGTATGTCTACTATTCCTCACTCATAGTTAGGTAATGCGAGTCTTTCTTACTCTTTCATCTCCACATTTAGTGCCATCCCGGACCAGTCCAGGACTGATCTCATCACTGCCTGCTGTAGTAGTAACAGAGCTGTAGAGATTGGGTCAGTGATTAAAAACCAGTCCCGTTTCAACATACTACTGCTGGTTTAATACAAATTATGTGTGTGCTATGTGCATTAGACATTGTGAAAACTATAGGTACATGATTGAGTCACACATAAAAAATGACAGTCTTCTTCAAACACTAAAGAAAATGCAACTGCTAGTTCAATAGGTTTATGAATGTGCAATATTATTTGACAGGGTTTTTTTAGAAACCCAGTACATATTATATAGGCTACTCAAAAAGGGCACATTTGGTTCTTAGAATACCAAGAAGAGATACGTATGTTGGGATGTGGCAAAACAAGAGAGTGAGGCACACATCTAGGCATGCAATCCCAGAAGACTGAGCTAACATTACATGGATGTTTCTCCTTTGTAAGCATTTTAGATGCCAAACTAATGTCTCTGTTACATGAAATGAATTTGCAAGTGTTGCCACAGAGATGCCCCTGACACCCAATCTGTTACCTGTGCACAGAACTGGGCAATTTTCAGTCTAATTTTTAAATACGAAAGCCTTGGACCCTCAGGACCCTCAGTAGCATCCATACAGCACTCTTGGGGTCTGTCTGCTTCGTGTACACCCTTGGTTAATCAGATAGCCGTTGTACATAATTTACTTGCAAATGAATGAAGAAGAAGGTAGCCTGGTTCTTTTATGGTCTCCAGCGGTTGTTTGTAAGATTCCACCATCCTCACACTGTAGTTGTCCACAAAATGCATTCCTGCACAACAAAGACAAAGCTAAGCTAAGCTGATAATTAACACAGCAGAGACGGTTCTTTCTTCATAGTTTACTGAATGAAGTTCACAAGGAACAAATTTAATTGGTAGTTCAAACCGCACACTATTTTGCAAGGGGTTACACCAGCTAGTAAATTATTAAGTGATGACTGCAGAGCTTTTGTGTTACACAAGAGGGTAGCCAACACATACATAATGAAAAGCACTAAAGTGCAAACCCTCGGCACACTACGCATGGGCGGTATCGCTAATTGATGGGCTGGGGCTAGGCTCTGCTGTTACTCGTGGTCTCCCACTATATAGTAGCTCACGGAGAGTCTGACACGGGCTAGCTACACTAGTAGATTGCATGCGGGAGTGGACGCACGCCCTCTGTTGTAACTTCTTGTGCCTCCAAGGTACCCGGAGTAGGCAGATCAGTTCGAGATAAGCCAGCGCGATTATGCATATTGGCTTTTTCGCTTGTTTTCACGGCATATCTCTCGAACGCAGTTCTTTCAGGAAAATCGCCTAATATTTTTTCAGGTTCGCGTAGTTCTGAAGCCGTTGGTATCACTCATTGGCCACCTCATAGCCTGTAGTGCCAGAATAAGCGTCGACAGGCAGACAGAACGACTACTGTAACCCTCGCTGCGCATGCGCGCCGAGGGTTAATAAGTAATTGTACAAGTAAGTATAAAAATTCTTCGAATTAAAAAAACGGTGAATATAGGGATGGTATAAAAAGCAAGGACACAAGACTAGTGAACGTGATGCAGTATTACAATGGATGATGGCTACATACTTCGAACTGACATCGCTTGCTCGTGTAAAATTTCCTCCACACAAGCCCTACGTATATTGTCGCGAAGTATGAGTGTATGATACACAGCTATGATACGTCTTAGACAGGTAATGCCCTCTCTTCAGTTTTCAGTTGTAACTACAGTCTAAGACTTCTCTTCTACATTTGCTCAACTAACCAGTTTTACAATGCTGCTTTCTTGGCCATCTACAGAATCCCTTTGCCACTGTCCTCACATTTTACACCATTTTACTAAACAAACTCATGTCAGGTGGCGACAATATAGTGCTTGTGTGGAGGAAATTTTCCACGAGCAAGCGATGTCAGTTCGAAGTATGTAGCAATCATCCATTGTACTACTGCATCACGTACACTAGGTCATCCCTGTCTTGTCTCCTTACTTTTATACCATCCCTATAATATTCGCCATTTTAAAATTATACTTACTTGTCTCCTTTCCTTTTTTACTGCATTCACATGCACAGTGTGCAATAGAAGTGGATACTTTGGGGCATAATGCCCACAAAAAAAGTAACATTAGTTGACATTTTGTCGTCTTATAAGCAAGTTATAGGCACTAACACCATTTAAAATGTTTTTGCCTGAGGCTGTTTGATGTTGTTTACAACCTTGTACTTTCTATTTTGATGAACTCTTATCATAGTAAATCAGTGTATCAAGTTTCATTGTGAGAGGTCCCACCATAAGCAGGTTATAGGCACAAACACAGTCTACAAGTTTTTATTGCCTGAGGCTGTTTGTTGTTGTTTACAAACTTGTAAATCCCATTTCAATGAACTCTTATCATGGTAAATCAGTGTAGCAATTTCCATTGAGAGAGGACCCACCATAGATAAGGTGTAGGCACAAACACTATTTCAAGTTTTTATTGCCTGAGGCTGTTTGTTGTTGTTTACAAACTTGTAATGTTTACATTTTGATACTAATGATGGGTTGCACATATGCACAAGTTTTATCACTCTGGGTACTAGCTTTACCCAGTTAGCACACTATATCATAATGTATGGCCTGGGGCTATTTTGTTGTTGTTATTTGTTGTTTACATGTAAACTAGATTGCTCTTGCATGACATATCACGGGTTCCAATCTCTGTGCAAAGTTTCATTTCCATATCTTCCACTGTTTTTGAGATACACTTGTCTAAACTGAACGAGAAGAATTTTGAAAACTCTGCCAATGTTGCTAAATTTGCATACCAAGATGCTCGCTTGTCGTCCGCTGCTTACGGAAAATGGCCCGCCAACTGTATGCGCACGTATACACAGGGGTTACGTACTGCTAGCGCTAGCATACAGGTACTTACGTTCGTGTAGCTAGGCATTGCTTCTTGTCTCTCTAAAACGATTTGTTGTGGATGATAAAGCATTATTTTTTGTGTAGGTGACATTTGTACATAAAAAGGGTTTTCTAAGCGGTAAACTATGGGAAATCAAGAACCTTGTACGAACCAATCAGACTTCTCGATAAACACACTATTCACTTAACAGTGTTATAGACACTAGCACCACTAATTAATCATACCGCTCAAGGCAGGGTTTATATTGTGTTCCATCAAATCCACAGTGACCACTCTCACTTCCTCTAGTGTTCAATAAGGTATAACACTCATCTATAGCATCATCTGAAGGAACATCACCACATGTATAGTAAAAGCAATAAGCAAATGAAAAGCACTAATGTGCAAATCATAGGAACAAAGGGAACCCATGCAAGTGATGTGCATAATTAGCGCATGCCGGGCATGCCACATGCTCCAGCCCTGGGGATGAGCCAGTTTCTTGCTCTGAACCAGGCTAGGCCATGGCTGGACTAGATACATGTCTTCGAGTATCTTCATCCCTCCATGGTGTGTGAACGGGCTAAACCTGGTTGAGGTAAGACTGGCTTCTTCACATGCCATGCCTCTTTAATTCATGAAGTACTGGAACCCTCGCTGCTCATGTGCACCAATAGAGCAATAGACCACACACCTAGCCCAATAGTGGAGCCTAAAAAGTTTAACAAATGGGAATAGTATGAGTTTCCCCGAAGATTAGCTACACTTTTTAGCTACAAACTATGTATAACCTTTATCTAAACGTATACATGTTACAAGTGCTAGTGGGAGCTACCCTTCGGTTTGACCCATTCCAGCCCAGACAATGATGCCACAAGGCATGACTCCCACTGCCCTTAATACAAACAATCAAGCATGTAGCAAGCAGTGCTAACTGGTTCCAAAGTGGTACTGGCACTGTCCATCCCTAGTCTGGCACACTCCTGAGTAGCAGTAAGAATTGTTGCTCTTGCACGAAGTAAGATCTTGAAGGAAGAAATCCCCAGGGCATTCTGAATGATGCCCAGTACAGTACTCCTCTATATCACAATCATTTTTCAATGGTCTGCACACTGAACCATAAGTTTTGAACCGACAATTTATTTCACAACACGGGCCTGCTCGACATTCTGCCCCTGCCACAAGTTGACATGATGTAGCATTGCAGCATGGATCAATACATTCCTGTCAAATAATAACTCAGTGGATGAATAATACCGAGTCAATGAAGCACTCACAGTAGCAGATCCACAGTCACATGCTTCTCCCTCCTCCTGTATTCCATTTCCGCAGGCAGGGTCTGTAATAGTTTTGCCTGGCTCATTGTCAAGACAACGGCCTAGGTCTCCTGCTATGTTAGTGCGTAGGGTTGCCACACTACATGAGCTCAATGTTTTAGGAGCTGGATTTCCCAAAGTAGCATTCATGACACAGACACCAGATGGTTCTCCTTCACACAAGCAAGTTTCAGCTTGGGACATCAGCAAACAATTTACATGCAAAAAGAAAGATAAAAGTGGTTACAATGAAAAGTGTACATGACGAGACAACAGGCACATCAGGGGAACAAAGGTTCTTACATCACAACATCACAAATTCTCACTGTCATCATGATCCATGCCGAAGATGTGGCCAAGCTCATGTGCAGTAGTACTAATAAGTCGATCTAATTCCTCACCACCATCATACACCAATCCCACAGCACTTTTGGGTGTTTCACATATTGTGGCAGTAAACGCTATACCAATGGTACTTCCTTCAAATCGCATTCCACTGCAAAAAAACAAATAAAAGGCAGTATAGTGCAAAACACTCGGCACACTAGCTAGTTTGCAACCTGCTAGCTTGATGACAACTGACACGGGAAGCATCATGGGACTTAACCCTCATCCCCAGTTAATGCTAAGTTGTATATTGGCTTGCCACGACTTTGCAGTACATGGTACTTTTATCATTATTAATATCTATATAGCATGTGTAGCGCTGAACCTGTTGGTATCGCTTTTTGGGTGGGTTCTTGCACGTTGAGGCAGAACACATGGTAATAGAAAGACTGACGGAAAAACAGACACACACACCCACGCACACAAAACATTGCATTAGCTATAAACAATCGGTGAGGCTGATGTTAGAGTTAGACTTTTTAAAGAGGAGAAGCTCCTAATTGTTTTTGATAGAGGAAAACCAGGAACCCAGTTAAAGATCAAACCAATGACTTCTCAAATATTGGTCAGGCGCTGAATGCTTTAGTGTTCATCATGTGACCTTCAGCCAATCAAATCATTCCATTTTGTGATAAATGCATGCTGTTTTAAATTGCTCTGTACATAGGCTTTAACTGTATTTCTCCCTCCACATTAAGACTAATATAGGCTGGGTTCCCATCGTGCCAGGCGTGCCAAGAACAAAGAAATGGATTCTACCCTTGCTAATGTGGTAACGCGGCATGGGACAACAGAACAATGTGGCATACTGTGAATCACATCCCACATGAGTGGGTGGGAACCATAAGTCCTTATTAGGCCAGGTCTTTCCTAACAATTAAGCCCAACATACACAGCGCAACTTTATCTATGTTGCATGAGATAAAAGTTGCGCCGTGTATGTTGCGATTTTTGTTGCACGAGACAAGTTGCGTCGAATAGACAACCATTCTATTTCCATGCAACTTCTGCCCAACATACATGGTGCAACTTCCATGACACTTCCATGAGACAAAATTGCATGCAAAGTTGCGCCGTGTTTGTTGGGCTTTAGGAATACTTTGGTTCCAACCCATGTACATATATGGGATAGGCTCACTCTCACTGTGAAGAAATCCAGTTGAAATGCAGTGTAGATGTGAGCTGTAGAGTAACAGACAGACACAGACACACAGACCCAACTACCGTACCCTCACTGTGCATGCACGCCGAGGGGAATTAGGAGCTTCTCTCTAACTAGCCATAGGCGTAGCATGTTTTTGTTGCAGTGCTATACACATACACCCAGAGACACAGCTGTGATTGTATACATTCAGTGATTACATTTGAGTATATACTTCATCGCTTCATTTACTCATAAGGAACTGCATTCGGCTTAGATCATGCATGACAAGTGTACTAATGCTGTGATTTGTCGCAAATGACAACACATCTATTTCAGTTAAGAAAAACTAACGTGAAGAGCATGGCACTATCATAGTGTTGAGGCAGATTTGGAGAGTAGTCCCGGAAGTTGTTAAGAAAATCCCCAGCCTTTTTGGTAATGGTTATAGGGTCTCCCACAGTCCAGGTAACAACATCAACCACCACTATCCTTACCCCTTGAACTTTGAATATCTGCAGTACAAAGAGCCACATTTTAAATCTAGACAATTATGAATAATTATAAAGATTGCTTTGAGCTCTTGCATGCATACACAGTTTGTACGTACCTCTGTTTCCACGTACCACGCTGAGATTGACGGTTGGCCATAACTAAAACCAACTGCACTAATTGGAAAGCCTGGGCTATGGCATTGTACTATATACAGCTGCTGAGTTAGATGGAGATACGTAATGCGCACAGTACCTTTGAACAGTGGCACCAGTGTTGAGCGGGTGGAACCATTAACAACAGGCACGCACCAACTACCGTAACTCTCGCTGCATGCATGCGTGCCGAGGGTTAATCAACACCCAAGTATGTGTATTTAGATACTCTAGGAGGACTTGCTCCAACATTTCAAAACACCATCTACTGACTCCCTACCGAACACCATCACTGCACACATTAGCCATTAGCCTCCATTTCAGACAGTAAGCATGCACTATATCTATGAGCTTCTGTAACTGATCCTTAGACTCACTAACACCAACAAAGTCATCTGCAAACAAAAGTCCTCCAAGTCTCCCATCACTACTTAAATCTCAGCTTCCTCTACATCGTTCAACAATCCAATGATAAACACGGAAAACAAAATTGGTACATCCCTGAGCTACCCCCTGCTCCACATCAAATGCCACTAACCGTTCCCCATCCAACAATACAGCACTCTTTGAAAACTCGTACATACATCCTCATTATGACCCTCCACATCTTCCCTCTGACCCCGAATTCCCACAACTTTAACCACAGGCCATTACGCCACACACTATTGTATGCCTTCTGCACATCTAGAAAGTCTCCTTCCCCTTCTTTAGCCTACCCTGCATGAGTTCATTCAGTGTATAAATATATCAACACAACTCCATTAAACCCTGACCCTCATGCAATGCTCGGCCCTTGTCCAGATGCTTCACCAACCTATCATTCAAAAAGACCTTCCCAACCACACTCAGCAGAGTGATGCCCCTATAATTCCCAGCATCCTCCTTATCTCCCTTCTTAAACAGGTTAACTATGAGGCCCTCCCTCCACTGTGATGGCAAAACTCCTCGCGTCAAGTTACTGTAAACAACTGTTGAAGCAACTCTATCACAGTGCCTCCAAGTATACAGATTTTCCCGTATTTTTACGGAAATCGCACTCCATATACGGGAAAAATCGAAATAATACGGAAGACAAGAGAGGCGTGGCAAGTATTGCGACAAACGGGCATGTGCGGGTAAGTACGGGTAAAGCCATATAAAATACGGGGGAAATTGCCGCTGGATACGGATGACGTTAGAGTTAACTTGGAGGCTATGCTACCATCCCTGACCAACCATACTTTAGAAGCTCCCCCACAAGCCCATCACTACCACCAGTCTTGTTATTCCTCAACTTCCTAATACACAACATCTCCTCCAAATCTACTTCCTTATTTTCCAAACAATCTGCTGGAAGGTTAGAAAACTCACACACTTTCTTATCCATTTCCTCCTTCCAACTATCATCAAAAGCTGTATCAACACTACGGGTGCCCAAGTGCCGATAATGCCTCTTTAACACCTCTAGCTTGCCCCTTGTACTAGTCACTGATACCCCAGCACTATTCCTAAAAGATGTTATCCCCCTCCTCTTACCCTCTGTCCTTCTACCAACAGATGCCCAAAATTCTTTCCTACTACCTTCCATTTGCTCTTTCCACTACATCATTCCAAACCTCAGCTTCTTTTCAACAACTAAATTCTTCACCTCCCTACGCAGATTATCCTGACACTTAAGAAGTTTCTTGTAAACCTCGTTTCTCTGTTCTACCTTCTGCTTAATCTCATCATCCTACCACCTGAATGCCCTGCCACACACTACTACCTTCTCTCCTACCTCAGCCCTTGCCACCTTCTTGCCACATGTTCACAAAAAAGAGACAAAAGGCTAACACACACCCACACAATATTACGCATGATAAAGTAAAGGCTATGGAATCCCAGTACATCCCCTGGTCTGATTGTATTTAGAACAATGGTTTGTTGCTTACTACACAAGCATTTGAGGAAATGCAGGACATACTACTTTTCCTTCATTTATGTCAAAATGAGCAATCGCTGATCAATATTGACACCGTAGACTTAGAACGCAAAGCTTAAAATATAAGCCACACAAACCTTAATCAGCTTTAAAAATATTACATACCCACCCGAGTAATAGAAGCACACATAAGTAGGTAGACACACAAAGCATGTATATATAATAACCCGTACTACTAGTACTAAATAGTGACATTATAAGAGAATGGATTCGACTTACGTCATCTACTCCATTGGCTATTTCAATAGCTCTGAGAACCACAAGAGTGAGGTTTCTTTGAAAGTATAAATACTGAAAAACATAACACAACTCTAAATTAGTTGATAAAGCATGTTTATGACATCATTTTCATAGACATTAAGTAGAGGTAAGGGTTGCTCAAAATTATGTATATATGCTATTATGCATGAATATGGTGTGGAAGTAAACTTGCATAATAATCAAAGTACACAAAAAATTCAAGCAGAAAGTAAGTCAATGTGCTATGTCATATAAACACACTCAATGGCAGCTCACCTGTGCGTGATCATTAACTAAAGTCCACTCAACTAGAGGAAAACGTCCTTGTCGTCGAACCTACAAGCAAAAACACATCAGCTCATAATAATTAAGTAGGCCTGCTGGTCATATGCATTAAAATTGGGTTTAAAGCTGCTAAAACTTCTTTCACTCGTGAAGTCCAGAACTGCTAGTGTGTCACCAAACTATTCGACAACGTTACAGAGTTTTACAAAAGAACATAACACAATCATGTGTTTGTCTGTTGGCTGGATGGCAGGGGACAGTTGTGCTCAGACCATCATGATGAATATGCAGGTACACTGCATTTTTGGTGACAAAACTCTAGAGAGAGGCTACACAGTGGGTCCATGCCGTATGTAGCTGTGCAGCTCACAGCTCTGATAAAGATAAATGTTTTGTAATATCGTTGAAAGGAGTCACTCAACTGTGTAGAGTGGTTATCTTCACAACTCTACCCCTTCGAGTATATTCCTCCTACTGAACTGCCTGGAGCTCCTGGCTGACTTTATAGCAGTGAAATGCTTTGCCTAGGACAGAAAACGCCTAACTATTCACCTACTTTGGCTCTGAGATAAAAAGCGGAAGGTGCAATTTCTAGAGACGAACAACAACCTGGTTTAGGGTGCAGGTCTCAAATGGTAATATTAACTGAAACAGAGAGGCTGCCGATGTAACACACCACTGACACATCTCAACCGTTGGTTGGAAGTGAGCCAACGAATGAAAAATATGTGCTGTGTACGTACACACATACATTGATGTAACACATAAAAACTAGGCCTTCTATCAAGTCTTCCTGGTGTCATAAGTATTCCAGGACATAATAAAGTAGGCCAGCTTCGATAAATTACCAGATTACCAGGCACTTACAAGGCAAGGCAACATACGCTGCGTCTAACTATATAAAAACGAACAAATGATACTTAACTTGACTGGATACACATCACCCAAGCATGTTCATCTCTTCGCGGTGTGCCAAACGGGCTAAACCTGGTTCAGGCGAGCTATTGCTGATTATGCATATTGGCTTTTCGCTTGTTTTCATGCCATATCTCCCGAAAACAGTCGTTTCAGGAAAAACGTCGTTCAGGTTCTCGTAGTTTTTAAGCCGATGGTATTGCTCATGGGTTGCCTCGTAGCCTGTTGTGCCAGAATAGCTGCTGACAAACAGACAGACAGACACACACACACAGACGCTCACTGCGCATGTGTGTCAACGGTTAAAAATCAGGCCAAGTGTATCCGTTGGCATCGCTCTTTGGCTGTTTTGTTGCACATTGTAGCATAAACGGAAGTAAGAGACAGATAGACACACCCAGACCAAGTACAACCCTCGTTGCATGCGTGCCGAGGGTTAAAAGCAGCTTATCGAATGATATGGGAGAAATGCAAACAGACACACATATTATATAAACGCACAATGAATATAACTTGGCTGCACCTGTGCCAACTTATATTGACAGAAGCCCTCCTATGAATCTTAGATGGTCCAACTTACTGTACATCAGAAGAGAAATTCATCATTAACCCCTTTTTAGTTACTGCTCTCAAACTCCCTCGCCTTTGTGAGTTATCAGGCAAATATTTTTATCTCACTCAATAACAAAGTATGTTGAAAGCAGGCACACGTTCAACCTCTTACACCCACATGTACACAGTATAGACTTTGAAGACTGCACATATATGTAGCTAGGCTTATCATGGTCCCTGGCCTACAGTATTTTACTATGGACAGCATTGAGCACCGGCAACAACAATGGAACCGTAGGGCTTAGCAAATCTCTATAAGCTACTAAAATTTCTCTATGGCAGGCAGTGAAGTATTTGCTGATGAGTGCTCAAGGATTCTTTGAAATTTGTGCTACAAACTAACTCTTTAAGTCACGAAATCAGCTTTTGCACTCGGTAGGCGTTTCGACCTTTTTCATCTGCTCTCCCGCATGCATCTTTAACTCCTTTGCTAACGCGCACATGCACTATAGCGATCTTTCTTAAAGTACTGAAAGGTAAACAAAAGGAACATCAAAGCTCCGACCGCCATATCGAAGTGCCAACTGACCACTTCTGAGGGAGAGTGGGTGGTTTTTATCATAATTATAATACAGCAATGCCTTCCACTTGCAGGGGTCAAAGTTCACGAATATGCAAGTTTTGTTTGCTTTTCTAGATGTGTGTAAATCAAGAACATTGAGTGACCGAAAGGGATAATTATTAAAGCACCATTCACACTCATAATTATACTAGAACAAATGCAATGCATTTCAAGTAGTTCACTTTCTTGCACATGTATCTAGAAGCACGCAAAGTGTCCATCACACAGTAGCAGTCACACAAAGGCCCTATTTAGATGACTAGGTAAACTCTGTTTTCTCGCCAACTATGCAGTGATGTGAGTTAATATGGCAGTTGGCTATGCTTTGCATGTGCATTTAGTATGATAGTGCACTAGGAGCAGAACCACAGACTTTAAATGATGTGCAGCAAGAGGGTTATGATACTAGACGAATTGAACGCATTGGTGAGCAAAGCGAGCATTCAATATTTCGTGTGTTTTAGCGCGTATTTAGAATCACATAAACATTTGGAATGTTGGTCCATTTGGTCCGTTCACATATATACATGTATATGGAAATTCCGCATACAGATGCCTAGGTGAGCTAGCTTTGCTTGTCAAAAAAAGTAGAAGGCATAAGAGAAAGTGTGCTATATACTTGCCGTATAAGTTGTATCTCATGCTTGTTTGTCCAGCAATGCAAGGTTCAGTTCCGACAATGACAGGCACAGCCCAGGGCCCTTAGCATTTACAAAAATAGTTTATGGACTAGCACTACAACATGCATAACAAAATGTTTTGCAAACTCGATGGAGTTTAAACAGTTACACAAGAAAACAAAATGCCATGTATAGACACTTAGTTTCCAAAAATATCTGTGCAAACACCTTCATTTTACTGAATCACCTTTCTCATTATTATGCAATATTGCACTATGGTCTTCGGTATAAAATTACACTTACTCGCTGTTTTTCCACCAACTTCACATGATGATGCCTCCCACTCCGTTGCAGGTGTCCTTTAGTTCCTGTGTGTTAAAATAAAACACTTAAACTGGGTGTATGCAAGTTGTTTGGGGTCAGTGTGACTGGTGTTCTCAGTGCGCAAGCGTAGCAAGGGTTACAGTACTTGGTTTGTACGTGTGTCTGTGTCTGTTTGTAACCATGTATTCTGCCAATATGTGCTAACAAGCCAGCCAAAGAGCGATACTAACAGACTACAAGCCGTTTAAAATTTGTTGATTTTCATAAACACTGTGTTCAAAAGTTACAGTGCGAAAACCACGCAAACAAAACAAAAGTGCACACTAAAGAAGCACTGCACCAATATAAGCATTGCACCCACATGCATGCTTAGGTCAGACCCACTAATTGATTGTCTAAGCTACACTATCATAGTCTCTCGCTAGGTTTCTGAGAGGGTTAGCCAAACAAGTAGATAGCATTTTAGGCATTGCAAGACTCGAAATTCGCCCTCCTTCGTAATCTCTAACGCCTCTACTGGCGCAAAACAGGTTAGGTAAGCGAGTTATAATTTCACATTGGCTTGTTCACTTGGTTTTCAAACTGTAACTATTGAACACAAGTTTTTTTGCATTGCACGCCTGTCTCTATTGCGCCGGGGGTTAGTGCTTTACATTCCAAATGGGAGTCGGCAAGCTGGAGTAACAAGCAAAAAGGCAATACATAACTATCCCCTAATACCCATGTATACTTTGTTGGTATGTATCTTGCTATGACTTATTGGTTGCTTTGTTACACATGGTTGGAGAAAGTGTGGTAGCAAACAGACAAATTACTGTAACCCTTGCTACATGTGTGCCAAGGGTTATTAGCCATATGCTCCAAGCTATAGGTTCTCAGGTTATAGTATACACAATGATTATATATGACAGTCATAATAATGGTGTCAGCCAAAAGGTGTGAACTACTCCTTCCAGCTACATTCAAATAGTACATTCCTCAACAACACATTATCCAAAACAAGGAAGTTGTTATACTGATCTTACCACAAGTGCCATTTTTGGCGTTATACTGTGATCCATGATACAAGACATGAGGCTGTGTTAACTGTAAATAGAAAAACTGACATGGATAACTGCCTCTTATTGCTACTTCATTGACTCTAAAATCACGTCACTTAATGCAAACCCTCGGCACAAGGAACGCACGTGCACATGTGTTGTTATCGCCACATGTGCATAAGCTAATTATGATGGGCCGGGCCAGGCCAAGCAAAAGGAGTCAGCTGTTCATTTACTATTTCTGAACTGGATAAAAGATAAAACACGATTTACTTTACCCTGGCCTCCATGGTGTGAGCCTGGTCGAGGTAAGCCAGTTCTAAATATGCATACTAGCTTTTTCGCTTGTTTCCACTTTGCATACACCTCAATTTAACCTTTTGAGGATAATAAAAGAAGACTGAGGTGAGACAAAATAAGCAGCAAGAAATGTAACCTTCAGTTGCTGCCCAACAGTCAGATCATAATTATCATCATTAACTCTTTGTGTGCGTGTACGCCCCTTAGGGGAAAAGAGCACTTTTGACGCCAAACTTAGCTCCAAAGATGACATAATCTGTAGTATCCGAACATGTATACTAGTACAGTGCTCGCGTTAACAGTCGGTCATCGCACGTTTTCAGGTCAATACTGCTAGGCGTCCACGTAGTCGCGTAGTTGCGTGGTCAATTTGTCTGTCTGGGCATGCCCACGCCCACTGTGTTCATGTTATATAATGTGGGCATGAAACTATCTGTCCGTCTGTCAGCTGCAAACTGTGGCAGTGCTGGATCATGGTAGGCATTACCTATGCTCTGTTCAGCAAGATTCTGGAGTGGAGAAGGCTGTGAAACAGGCAAAATGGACCAAGATGACTGTGCATTAATTAGAGATCGAATTTACAGTGCTTCAGTAATACTAAGATGGGACTTTTTGCATGGAAAACATGTAACTATGACAGGGAGTGATTTCAGTGACACCCCATGAGATATCAATGTCAACACATGCACATATCAAGTAGATTTCCTAATCATTAAGTGATGCAATTTTTAGAGTCAAAGTCTAGGGTTGCACAGTTCATGCTTTCACAGCACTGCTAGTATGAATGTACACACAAAACCACTAAGAAAAACAGGCAAAATTTAATTTGTTCGACTACAAAACAGCGGCAAAATAAACACACCCTGATTAGGTCACTGGCACACCAGTTTTGGCTAGTGCTAGCAGTGTAACATTACAGTATATGCCACAAGGCAGAAACCAAACAGCTATCATTTAGACAGTGGGCTGGGCTTGCCATACAGTTTTTGACTCAGGTGAAATATGTCTCTGTCTGGTCAAGCAACCTGCTGAGCTACATTATGTCTTGAGAGTGTTATGTAACTGGCTGGAGGAACTGAAAAATTCAGTTTCACCGACACAAGAGAGTACTTTAACAGCCTGGACTATGTATTTTGAATTACATGGCACTGTCATTAATGAAAATCACTCAAAACCCTCGGCAAAGTTGACAATCTGTACCCAGATGTTGAACTGAACGGTTTACGACAGTCTCACGCTCTAACGTCGACGTCTAGACACTGATGACAATGTCTTGCAGACTTTGACATCCCAGCGGTGAGGTCAACACCGTAAAATAATAAATTGAATGCCTTTTTAAATCTGAAATAACCACTGAGAGAAGGCTGGACTCGCCAGCCAAGTATTCAACAGACCAGTATAGATCCAAAGAGAAGAATGAAAAGCACTAAAGTGCAAATCCTCGGCAAAACTGCGCGTGCGCGATACTGCTTAATTGATGGGCTGGGCTATTGCCTATTAGTATGCGTTTACTCGTGGTCTCCCGCTAGTACCTCGCAGAGAGTCTGACACTGGCTAGCTATGCGAGAGTCGATACACGCCCTTCGTTGTGACTTATTGTGCCTTCAAGATACACAGAGCAAGCGAACCCCCGGTCGAGGTAAGCCTGTGTAAATATAAGCGCATGCGCATTTACCGCAGCGATAAAAATGGCCGACTACGCATTAGCCGTACAATGGTAGAAGCGCTCTAGCTCTGCAACGGAGCAATTTGAAGAGAAAACCGTTCATAATTTCTGACCTTCGTCGCCCGTTGGGTAGATGGTATCGTTTCTGGGACGAACAGACATTCGAGAGGTGAGATGTAGAGTAACAGACAGACACACACACAGACAAACCAAACTACAGTAACCCTTGCTAAGTGATGCACAGTATAATTATACTTAAAGAGTTACCCGCAAAACAGACGTCAGTAGAGTGGGATATCGAAATCGACAGCAATACTATTGGAGGGATGTCGTCATAAGTGCCGGATTTGACATTACAATGTATGGCATATATAGACGTAGTAGGCCAGCGACTGTCTATGGTCGATTATTGTTAAGCAACAGCTTGCCATACATGTGTGAGTACATGTATACTATGTGCACTGGAATGCAAAGCTAATTAACGTAGTGTGACACTGAGCCTGTTGGTATTTCTTTTTGGCTGCCATGTTGTGTGTAGTGGTAGAAAAGGTGGTAACAGACACACGGATGGAATGAAAAACCTACTAGCGGGCCAAAGCAGGGATTATTCGCAGGTGGGAATGGGAGTAAAAGCCAGTTTAGAACTGCACCTGCAATGTTTTGTCTTTGCACTACACTACCAAAAAATCTCAGATGATTCTTCAAGATATGCATAGTTGGAGGACGTACCACTGAACATAATATAAAAATCATGCTGTTCGGAACACTAGGTTGGCCTGTCCCCACTCGTCAACGCAGTGCATGGACTGTCAAGTTTGTATCAATGGGTCCATATACAGTGTTTCCCGCAGCATTATAACTACCGGGCGCTCCGCCCGATTGAAAAATCCCGAAAATGGGCATGTACAATTATTGGGCATGCAACTAGCGTGGTTACACTGGGGCAGTAATGCACTTGAAAGGCTTTAGGCCAGTAGGGGATTTCCCAACAGGAAGTGCTTTGAACCTGAGTAGCAAGTAATAAGCTGAGGTAATTAATTGCAGAGCTCGTTAGCGTGAGGCAACTACTCCGGGTTATCTACATATTATTTTTTGTTTTCTTTTTGTTTTTGTTTCGTTTTGTTTGTCGCGTTCTGTGTCTGTTTTGTTTTGTCATGTTTTTTTCTTTGTTTCGTTTTTGCTTTCTTTTTGTTTTGGTCTTTCATATTACATTGGTTGTATTCTCGCAATATGCGTACGTATGTACGTGTCGTCACGCTTAAGAATGTCAATTAGTCACGCTTAGGAATGTCACTTCAGTCATTCGTAGGAAGTCTAGCTTCCGCCGTGCGCGCAGATTCGTAGGAGAAGTCTGGCTTCGCGCGCAGTCAGTAGAGCACGCGCACGAGCGGCCTCAGTCGGAGTGTTTATGCATTGGCTGCGCGAGGCAAATATGCGCGTGCGTATTCCTAGTAATTCATAAGCACCCTGTTCCCTGCGGGGGAAACACTGCGTATAGTGACAGTGCAAATTCAGTTTACTGATAATTTCATGTGCACACACACCAGTAGCATTACAGTACATATGAAGTTGACACATACGTACATATATGTAACACAGCACATGTGGTGCATAAATTAGCTCACTTTAGGTGATCCCATATGGTAATGAAGAGGTTCAATGTGGTACCGTAGCTTAGGATCACCACGTGGCCCAAATGATCCCCTGTCAACAGGTCAACAGAGAAACACACGCAAGTAAACACAGGTGCATACACGCAGCAAACAGAATGAGGAGGGAAAAACAAACAATCTCTGGCTGACATAAAAAATCTCCATTATTCTTGTCCTCTTTACCTTTAACAGACACTCAATGCACTGAAGTATTAGTGTTGTCCTAGATCGTGGATCCTGCTAATATAAATGTTTGGAATATACACCTCAGTCCAAGGCAAGTGCTGAAAACTACTGTCCATTCAGGTTCTCCTGTAACTTTGCCATGGTAGAAACAGTGATCATGATCCTAAAACAATAAGTCAAGTACATTCAAAGCACACACGTAAATTAATGCATTAGTACTAGATAACAACTTCAGGCCGATAATTGTGTTCCAACTATGCAGGCAGGCTAACTATCAATCTTTGTCATTCATTACCTTTACAGCTTCATGTCCCATGCTGCTCTGAAATCTTGACAAAAATGAAGCAGACAGCAGACCTCTAGCAGCATAGTCAGATAGTTACGACAGAGAACCCATCTGTTGAAAATCCTTACTCATTGAGGTATAGCTGGAGGTTATAATGAAAAGCCGTAGTGTTGAGATTCACCGACAGTGTCTGGGGGGGTTGCTGAAGGGAGATATAAGGTAAGTGTTGGTATTATGAGTCGGGGGGGGGGATATTATGGGTAAATATTCCAAAAAGCTGCCAAACACTTTGTAACTACTTCCTATATACCGTCGGGAGCCCAGCAAATCGTCGCCACATTTTAACACGTGCTGCGGGTTACTTTTGCGACAAAATAGCCAAAAGTCAAGAGGTCACAATGGTTGCATCACTGACTCAAAGGGTTTAATTTGGGGGAGGTTTTAAATAAATGTTTTGGTCAAATTATGATTAATTTGTGGTTTTTTGCTTATTTGTATATCTAAGTAATTATTGTGAAACACGACTGGGCAACTGTTTGCTTCATCAAAGAATACGTTTTAAGTCGACTCATAATACCATCACTGACTCATAATTGCTGCTTTTAGAGGGTTATAAAACAAATATTTTGCATTACCTACTGTGAATATATTCTGAAACCGATTTGATTTTTAGAATCGCCATGTCCTGATAGTCATGTAACATAAATTTCACTTTAAAATTCACCGGTATTTGTAGGAAAAATTAAGAAGAAAGTTTAGGTGGCTCAAAATACCAACATTTACCTTACACACATGTATAGTATAGCATAATCATGACGGCAGCAAACAGCTAGGTCTACTTACTGGTGAGATCCATTCTACCTGTGGGACCACTATCTCGTACCCAAGGATCTCTGCGGCAAGGGTTATTTCAGTATTGCAGATAATGATTACCATTAGCACGATAGACCATACCAGCTTTGATACTCGAAAAGTATTTCCTGGCCAAAGCTATCTCCGTGAAAGCCCAAAATACGCACAATACTTGCCACACATCCATCTAGGTAGCTAGTTCGGCACAATCGGATGCACTCGTCAGCCACACAACCGCCGGGACAAAACGAGGCTCATGCTAATTAGGTGGGGCCATGTTGTCACTACAAAGAAGCGGGGGCGGAGGATAGACATTATTGGTGTAGCTAGAGCGCTAAGCTAGGCTGCGCTGCGTTCTGAGAGTGCGCATGCGTAGTACGTTAGCTGAGCTAGCTGCTGGGGGTGTGGTTGCAAGGATCTTGTTTCAGTGGCGCTGTTGCAGGAACGGAATGGATATACAGTAAGCTGCTAGTTTATGTTCTAACTGCCGCATGGGCATGAGCTCAGCCTCTGCGGTTTTATCTCCCTTTAGGGGTGTGGCTGAAAATACAGCACGGTGTGATTTATGTCAGGGCGATATAAGGTTTCGTACCCCAGGCGATTGGATTTTGAGGGTTGTCAAATGTGATACCTGTGGAGAATGCACGGTAAGGCTTAGAGTAGGCCAACGATAATCGGACACCATCAATTATCAATTATCTGACTCGTTTTTATGAAGACTAAAAAATACCTGAGATTTTTATCATGGCTGGCTAGTACATGACCAAATACTATGGGTGTCATAGAGAGAAGCGATTGCGCTCTTCTCTGTTGTGGCGGTGGGTGCGGAAAAATTGTTTTTTTTCCTCAGCTGTATTATTCTGACGATGACATGTACTCACGGACTGTAGCCTACAAGGAGCAGCTAAGCTTTTGCTAGTGTTGAATCATTCCGTAGTCGACGTTGGTTCGCCTGCTCTGTATTTCACAAAGTCTGCAATAACTACAGCTCCGGCCTCTACGCACAAAGGACCTGGCCAAGCGGAGGGAACCTGCGCAGAGACGGTTAAACTTTTTTTTAGCAAAACGAGCATTTGAAATGAAAACTCTCCAGTTTTGTGTGCTTGGGATGTACAGCTTGGCCCACACAGTTAAACCGTCTGAGGCATCCTTCACACTGAACGCAATTGTATGCATGTGAGAGCTTGCAAAGTCCATCAGTGAATGCAGCAGACTCTGAGTGAAAAATGTGAAAAACATTAAGCTGGAACTTGTAAGAGGCATAAAACCTTTCTCTACTTGGTCACCAGCTTCTCCTGGTGTCTGACTACCACCTATTGTGGAAGATAAAAATGTGTTTGTGCAAAGTATGTGACTACCTTCACTCTCTCCTCTTGCCTCTCCTCTGCCACACCCTGAATGTGTCTGACTACCACCTAGTGTGTGAGGTGTGACAGAAGATAAACATTTTTAGTACGAAGTATGCGACTACTTCACTCTCTGCTCTTGCTTTTCCTCTTGCCTCTCCTCTGCCACACCCTGAATGTGTCTGGTGTGACAGAAGATAAACATGTTTGTACGAAGTATTCGACTCTCACTCTTACTGCTCCTTGTGCTTCTCCTCTTGCTTCTTCTCTGTCACGTGCTGAACGTGTCTGAGTGCAACCTTGTGTGTGATGTGTGGAATAAAAAAACATTTTGCGAAACAAATCTTGTGTTACCCTTGGGTACGAGAACCAGATGTTGGGGAAGCAACATCAAACTGAAGACCACCTAACACAAGAGAGCAGTTTGGAGTCATATTTCAGCTCACGTGCTAGTCCCCTCTGAGTCACCCTCTGTTCTTTCTCTCTCTAACATTTTTTGCCGTCACTGTTCTTGCTGTTCTATTCGCTTCTGCTCCCTTTCCTCCTTCTTTCTTGCCTTCTCCTTGGCAGTTTCTTCTTTCTTTCTTACTTTTTCGTTCATTTGTGCAAGATTCTCTGAGCTTGTTAGTACCCTCGCCCCAGTGTAAGATACTCCCAGCATTCCTTGGGGATGGGGATGCAGTGCGTAGTGCAAGGTTTGGGTGCTGAATCCTATTACCCCTGATTGACTCGGCATTTCCGGTTTACAACTTCCAGAACTATCTCCACTACCTGCTGCCGTGATCTGGCAAAGCCTACTGAAGCTCAACCAGCCAAAAACTCTTCCAACTCCTCGTCCTCCTCATCTGTAAGGTACCTGGGAGGGCCACTTCTCCCAGTTGGTGAAACTTTACCAGTCATATGGTCATGGAGTGTTGACTTTTGAAAATTGAACTCCTCAGCAGCCCTCATTACTGACGCTCCATTAAAAGTACACACTCGGCAGCCATGGCCAAACGTTCCTTGTGCTTTGACACACATTGGCATTTTTGGGTGCTGGTGAGAAGGAAGACGGTGAGTGGAGTCTAGTCCAGGGGTTGATGTCCTCGTCCGAATATGCATAAGTCCCTAATTTTCATTTCTTTGCTCTATGGTGAACGAACATTTGCTCGAAGAATTGTGAAAACTGGTATACCACGGTTATTTTAAGTACTATTTTTTAGCGTAGTAGTATTATAAATTACTGACTAACAGTGGTGGTATAGCGTCCGAAAGTTGATGGTGTCCGATTATCGGTGCCTTACTCTAGTGTCAACTTTTTAACCCTCGGTGTGCATGTGTAGCGAGGGTTACGGTACTTGGTGTGGTTTGTGTGTCTGTCTGTCTGTCTGTCTGTCTGTTACCACGTTTTCTGCCACCACGCATAAGGAGATAACAGAAGGGCGATACCAATAGGGTCAGCGCTACACTGGCTTGATCTTAAATTTGGCGATTTGAGAGTTATGTCATGAAAACCAAGTGAAAAAGGCACTATGCAAATATACACAGGCTTACCTCAACCGCTTGCTCTGTGTATCTTGAAGGCACAAGAGGTTGCAACGAAGGGCGTGTATTGACTCCCGCATACAATCTACTACTGTCGCTCGTGAAAGGCTCTCCGCAAGCTACTAGCAGGAGATGACGAGTAAATGCAGAAACTCGTACTACTAACCAAGAGCCCATCAATTTGCGGTACCGCACATGCGCAGTTCGTCGAGGGTTTGCAATTTTCATTTTCTTGGTGTTGATGCTTTTCTATCACCCAGGCTGTTGGCCCCCCTCCTCCAAACAACTTGTTCACCAGATGTCCCTACTGCATGTATTTACTGGTTGTCCCTGTTGGTGCAACTGTTGCTGTTTGTCCACGGATTAGATGGTGAGTCGGCTTGCCTGGTTTTCTAACTTGTTCATAAATACAACTATGTTTTAGTGGATAAATGTACTATCTTTTGTTTTAGTGGAAGACAAGTTCAACTCCCGCCTTATACTAAAGAACCAGGGAAGCTTGTTCCGGTAAGATTATCTTGGTTAATTTTTAAGAGGGCACTGGGGCAGTTTTCGTTCCACTAACTAACAAGTTGTCCCGGTGTTGTTCAATTTACATATACGTACAAAGCTTGGAGCAAAGACTCCACACTCCTCATAATGTGGAGTTTGATAAAAAAATTATTGCATGCTTTAGAGTGCGATTTTGGATTATTAATTAATGCGAGTAGCTAAATTGTGGAAAGGTAATTTTAGTCCCTACAACATGCTTACGAGAATTAACACTCTAAAATCATGTAATGGATTATATGTAGTTGCCAGCGCCATATATCACGTTTATTGCGTCGGCTTAAAAACTGTAGTGTGCCCACTGGACTCACCTGTGTTGCTGAATTCGGTCTTATACAAGTAAATAGGGAAGTGTGAAATATAGGGATGCCATAAAAAGCACGGAGACAACACAGGGATGACCTGGTGAACATGATGCAGTAGTACAATGGATGATGGCTACATACTTCGAACTGACATCGCTTGCTCGTGTAAAATTTCCTCCACACAAGCCCTCTATTGTCGCAAAGTACGAGTGTGCTCCCTTGTATGATGCATAGCTACGATTTATGTCATAAGTACATTAGACAGGTAATACGTACCATCTACTTGGTTTTCAGTTGTGACTGCATTGTGTGAAGTCTAAGACTTCTACATTTGCTCAACTAACCAGTTTTACAATGCTGTGTTCTACACAGAATCCTTTCACCATTGTCCTCGCACTTAACTTTTCCTCACTAAAGGTGGCGACAATATTGGGCTTGTGTGGAGGAAATTTTACACGAACAAGCGATGTCAGTTCAAAGTATGTAGCCATCATCCATTGTACTACTGCATCACGTTCACCGTGTCTTGTCTCCTTGCTTTTTATGGCTTCCCTATATACTTGTCTCCTTTCCTTTTTTACTGCATGGTGTGCATTAAAAAGGGGATATTTTTGGGCATAAGCCCATAAAAAGTGACATTAGTGGCCTTAAGCTATCACCTCAGACGTTTTGTCGTCATTCACATCAGTGCATCAAATTTCATCGTGAGAGGACCCATCATAAGCAAGTTATAGGCACTGACACCATTTAAAAGTCTTTTTTGCCTGAGGCTGGCTGTTGTTGGCACCAAATTTTCCACCACCATAAGCAAGTTATAAGCACAAGCACATTTTACAGGTTTTTGTAGCCTGAGGCTGTTTGTTGTTGTTTACAAACTTGTAATTTAATGATGGGTTGCATGTGTGTACAAAGTTATCATTCTGGGTATTTGCTCTACCTAGTTAGCACACTTTATTGGTCTATATGATAAAGTATGGCATGGAGCTGTTTTTTTGTCGTTTAAAACACTCTTGCATGCCGGGTCACAGATTATAATCTGCTAATAGTGCAAAGTTTCATCTCCATATCTTAAGTGCTTTTTGAGATACGCTTGTCTAAACTGAACAACAACAACAACAAAAACAAGAAGACGAAGAAGCATTTTGAAAGCTGACTTTTTTTGAATAAATCAAGTACCGATTATGCGATTTAAGCGATACATGCTCTTTGTGACAATACGGATCAGTCTGATGTGTCAAAAGTTGGATCTGATTGAAAATGAAGTGACACATGAATATCTCAAATGTATGGGCATAATGCAGGACAACCTGTGTCATCCCTACATCCTAAGTACTACCGTACTTAGTGATCCAGATGACTATGTATACTGAGAGTGCTTTTTGCTGCAACTGTAGTCCATCGTGTGTTCTTTGTTGGGCAACCTCTCTTTAAATAAATTTGATTGGTCCACTCAAAGTTGTTGATTTTTGCAGAATAAAACCTTGTTTTCAGTTTTTGCATAAATAGTTATGATACATGTGTCAATTACGTACTACAAAAAGTCACTCAAATACTCCTGTGTTTTAACCGCGAATTCTAGAACCAGTTGGGTAACAGGGTTAGAATACACTTGCGATCCAACTTCGGCCACTTACGTATTGTTCGAGCCAACTGGGAGTAACTTTGCTCTTTCAGTGATTGGAAACACTTGTACTTCGTCTTCTGCAATTCCAACTATTGGGGCTGGTAGTTGTGGATGTCACGACAGGGCATCAGCATTTCTGTTCTCACGCCCTGGGCGATAGACTATCTTCACCTCCTTTACACTTACGTAGACACGAGACCACTATCTGGAATGTTTTGCTGATGGATTGGACGTCTCCAGCACAGCTTTGACCGATGTGTGGTCAGCGAAAACAGTGACTGTGTTCCCATAGAGTAGTGGTGGAGGTGACAAACAGCCCATACAACTGTGAGTGTCTCAAGCTCGGTGATGCCAGGGCTCTGCTGGCATAAGCAACTGGGTGTACTTTGTGTGATCCTTCTGGTACTGTCCAAGTACAGCTCCAATCCCCTGGGTATGGGGTATGCCAGGGACAGGCGCAGTGGTCAGCTTCTCCTTCAACTCTCAGAAAGTCTTCCTGCAGTCATTTGTCCACACGCTCCTTTGCAAGTCAGTTGATGTAAGGGGTGGGCAATCCTGACAAAATTGCAGATGAATCTGCGGTAGTAGGATACGAGTTCCAGGAATCTCCAGACCTCTTGAACTGACTGAGATGTAGGGAAGTCTTGAACAGCTGCAGTCAGACGTGGGTTGGTCTTTAGTCCATCTCGGCTCACGATGTGACAGAGGTACTCCAATTCCAGCTGGACGAATCTGCATTCGCTGGGCTTCAACTTCAATCCGACATCCTTCATTCGGTGGATTGCTGTCTGCAAGTGGGCCAGGTGTTCCTCTAGTGTACGTGAGGAAGCAAAATGTCATCCAGATAGACAGAGACAAAGTCTTGAGGCCGGGTTCAGAGGGTTCACCACTTGCTGCAGGGGCATTTGTCAGTCTGAACGGCATGACTCGAGATTCATATAAGCCTTGATGAGTCACAAAAGTGGTCTTTTCTTGTGCTGTGGGGTGCATCCTTATTTGCCAGAAGTGAGATCAATAGTAAAAAATGCTTCGAGCTTCCAAGCTGGTCCAATAGGTCGTCAATTCATGGTAGTGGGAAACTGTCAGGCTTGGTCACTGAATTCAATGCTTGGTAGTCCACACAAAACCTATGCCTCCGCACGAGGACTACAAGGCTTGCCCATGGTGGTCAGAATGGCTTGATTACCCCATTGCTCTGCATTTGGTCGAGTTGTTTTGTAACTTCCTGTCGCACAACAAATGGCATTCTCCTGGCTGACTGTTTCTTTGGGGGAACATCTCCGGTATCGATATCCATCTCAATGACGTCAGTTTTTCCCCTCTCTCCTTCTTCCAGACTAAACACGTCATGGTGCGCAACTAGGAAATCCGGAAGAGCACACTTTTCGTTGTCAGGTAAGTCAGGCTCAATCAGGATCTCTCTCAGTTTCTCCTTCCACTGTGTTTCTTCTTGGGACTGGGGTCTGATAGATCTGGTGACGTTGAAGGCTCTAGAAAGGGACTGTGTAGTTTCACTTGGAGTTTTGACAACTTGTACTTGAATGACTTGACCGAGAATGTCTCCTTGTTTGAGGCACTGAGTAGTGTCAGAACTGCATGACTTCGTCCAGTGGTATTAAGTTGGAGTAGAGCATCATCAGTTGAGAGTCTGAGGGATAACAGTTCCTCATCTTGTTGAAGCAGTAGAGGGTCGGTCTTACTCCATTCATCCTCCATATGGACCGGAACAGCTATGCTGTAGCGTGGTGCAATACGAACTGACTCTGTGAGGTTCACACACACCATCGGAAGCACTGCGTCACTTTCCTGACTGTCTGTAGTTACTGTATCTTGTATCTCAGGGACAACAGCGTTCTTGTGATGACTAGCATCAGGTGGCTCCGTAACCATAAGGTCTTGTTCTTCATGGTTGCTGGTGGCAGTAGCAGCTTCACTGTCTGGCTGACCGACTTGTGGGTGAGGCAATTCTTGTTGATTATCTCCAGTATCGAGCGACAACGCAGGTGTTGTAGCTTCCGGTTGGTCCTCCTGTGCTCCTGTTCTGTCCTTTGGACCTCCGCGGGACTAGCGACTTGACTTCCGAGAATGATGTTTTCGTCTTGTCCAAGTACTTCGTGGTACTTTGTTAGAGTCTTCTCTTGGTCTCTTCCTACTCTGCTCCACTCTCATATGTCCTGGGAACTTTGTCAGGCTTCAGTAACTGCTTCTTCTTCAGCCTTGCTGCAGCCGCCACTATGTTACCACCAATATATAGTTATGTCTGAGCCACTGTCTATGACTCCGCGAACAGGCACTCCTGCCAGTAGTACATCCATATGTTGTTGGCGACTCCCTCCATATCGAGTTCGAACTTGTAAGTAGTACACCCTCTTCTTATTCGTCGGAACTTGAGGAAACCAGACTAGACATCATGTCGTTGCCGGGTGGCGAGTCAAACTGCTGTAGTGGAAATGGATCTACTGAAGTCTGAACTTGTCTTGTCCCCCCTCCTTGGTCTCCATTGGGCTGAGCTCCTTGGTGTCTTCCTCCTCGACCTCGACTGGATCGACCACCTCACTGGTCCAACCTCCTCCATGCTCTCCGGGTCCCTTGTTGTTCATCCTTGGAGCCAGGCAGTTGCAGACTTTCTTGGGCACCATATGGAGGAGGGATGACCAGCTGCTAGAGGAGGGTTGAATGATTCCTAGTTCCAACATGTGGTCAAATTCCCGTCGTGCGATCTGCAGTCGTTCAGGCGATAAGTGTCCTGCTCTACCTGGGATGGGTGGGCGAACAGTTGTGATATGGTGTGTGACGCTGTGTTTGACGACTCCCGTGGTGACGCTCGGCTGAGTAACGGATGGAAACTCAGCGATGATTGTCGCTAAGGGGTTGGGGTGGCTTCGTGGGAGTAGTGATGGACTAGGGGATGTAACCGCAGAGATGATGCCTTGAACGTGCAGGCTGATGACAGCATCGACGAGGCGTGGATGACCTAAGTCCACCATTAGGCTGTAGTGCTGCAAAAAGTCTGCACCTAGGATTGTGTTTGTGACGTCATCTACCACAAATACCCACCTGAAGGTGCATTGTAGGCCGAGGTTGAGAGTGAGTGAACATGAGCCATATATGCGGATGGATGTATTGTTAACAGCTTGGAATGTGAGAGTACTGGGAGATCTGCTGTCTGTGGTCAACGGGGGGTGGCGCTGACCTGTGCTCCTGTGTCAATGAGGAACCGTATTCCCGAATCGCGATCGGTGATGAAGAAGAGGCGACTGTGGTGGGGGCCAGCGACGTCAGTCACCTTCACGTACTGCCCCCCTCCCCCGTTTCCCGAATAGGAGCAGGGAGGTGAACATTTCCGAGCTCTGTCACCAAAGCAGGCATGGTACCAGCACATGTTAGGGCGTGGGGGCGGCGTGTGTAGTTGAGGCTGGCTGTGAGGAGGTGGAGAGTGTTGTGTGGAAGACCAATGAGGAGACGGTTGTCTGGGTTGGTATCTGGGGGTAGACAATCAAGAAACTGTTTCTCGGAGTCGTGACACTTCGGCACGCAAGTCGTCTATCTCACTTGGCTGGGATTGGTTGACCCCAGCGACCGCTGGCGAAGCAGCTGCCATGACTCTGTCCCCAACAGCAGCCAGCTCTTCGAGTGTTCAGAGGACGCTAAGATCATACATACGTTGGTGGGGAGCCGCTGGAGGAAGAGTTCGCGGAGAAGTTTACCCTCGGCAGCACCGTGTCTGGGCCCTAGCAGCTGCTGCATTCACCGTAGTAGTTGTGTGTGTGTGTGGGGGTGATCCCTCAGTTCTGTGGAATTGAACAACTGTTGGAGGGGCCGCTGTTGGGGGACAGCGGTACGTGCAATGAGCTGCCGCTTGAGTGTGTCGTAAGGCGTGTTATCAGGAACACAGAAAATGATGTTGCGAACTTGTGTTGTGAATTCGGGAGAGAGTGAGGAAACCAGGTACTCGTTTTTGTTTTTTAGACCGTTATGGCGGGGATAGCAAATTGAGCTTCTACCTGGGCAAACCATAGGTGGTCTGACGATCAATAAGGAGGTAGCTTTAGGTTGATGGTGGCCACAGCTCCTGCTGCACATGCTGGTGTTTTGTCTGTCACTGACATCTAGCTCACGTCGTGGTCACCAATGTAGTCCATTCAATCTTATATCTTGACGTGGTTCCAGGGTGAGGGAACGGAGCTCCAGACCGAAGGTACTGTCGTCGTTTAGCAAGCTCAACTAACCTTCTGTGCTACATCTTGCTATCCAGCCCCTCTTCAAACTTCCTACTCTCCCTTTTGTCAATGCTTTCCCCTACTACAGACAGAAAACCCTCAAAGCAGCAATCGTATCCTCTACCACTCTCCCTTATCAGGGCATAATGGAAAGACAACTCTACTCCAGCACTTCCTCTGTCAGGCTCTAAAGTTACTTGTATATACCTATCACCTAAATTAACTAACTCTGATCTTGAACGTGTCTATCTGGGGGACGCGAGGACCCATGGATGCTTCATAAATAGGGGAATTCATTTGGTAATACCGTGCAAGGGTTTTGTGTCCCTTGATGAAAGGTCACTTTGCGGATCAATGACTTTGACCCTATCATGCCCCTTGCACGATTGCATGATACCTTACGTACCGCTGCTATAATGACAGGGGATACCAACAGCCCGAAAGGGGTGCCTAACCTCCATAAAGCCAGTAGAGCTTGTCCCATGACAATGACCCTTGAACTACTTTTATAATACTCTTCTAGTTAGACAAAAACAACCTTATCTTGAGAATTAACGTCGGTGTGACCACTGAGCTCTCTCTTGACAACATCAGACACACACTAGTTCCAGAGTTTGAAAGACTGCAGCTGGGACCTGAGTTGATATTAGTGGTGATACGTATGTACGTACTGCAAGGCGAGTGATTTTTTGATTCTAATTCCTTTTAATTTCAGGTTAGTGGAGCAAGTAGCAGCATCATTCTATTTACCAATAAGGAAATTGGCCAAGGAGGCTTTGGAACAGTTTATGCAGGAATTTTTGGGACTACCCAATGCTGTGCTAAAGTTCTAAATGTACCACCACAGTTAGATGAGCAAGAGATGGAGAAGTTTGCATTGCCTACATTTTCAGAGACTATGCGTCCACTCTGTGCCCTATCACATTCCAATCTCGTGAAGTACCTAGGAGTTACCTCTCACACCGTATCTGATCTCCCACTGATTGCAATGGAACTAGTAAAAGGAAACTTGTTCAATTTTCTCGGACATGTCTTGGATCCTCTTCCACTACACGTTCAGCTCGACTTCTCTCATGATGTTGCACTGGCACTACGGTACCTGCATGAACAGCATATTGTTCATGGGAATTTGTCCAGTGTGAGCGTATTATTAACCAGAGAAGGTCGGGTCAAAGTCTCTGACTACGAACTGTTCAGTATCTACTCTTTCATATCGGTGGAGCAAATTGAGCCCCTGATGTTACCTTATGTACCTCCAGAAGCATTCTCTGTGCCGGCTGTGCAATCAAAATACACCGATTGCTTCTCATGGAGTGTGCTAGTCCTGCAGATCATAACTCAACTTTTTCCAAACCCTGGCCCCATGGGTTAAGGAGGTAACTGATCCTCGAACAGTGGGAAAACCAATGCAAGTACCAGTGTCGGAAGTTAGCAGGAGGAAAAGTCACATCGACCTTGTCGAGGACACAAACCCTCTCTTATCAGTGCTTGTTTTGGGCCTGGATGACATTTGGGAGAAACGCCCACCAATGAAAGAAGTTTCTGAAATGGTTTCAACGATTAGGCTTAGTGAAGAATACAAGATGAGCCGAAGTAAAGGCTCTAATTGGTGTGAGAGACACATGTATGTGTTTGATTATGAGTTAGTGAATATTCTGGGAAAATCTGAACCTGCTGATGCTAGGAGTGAATCACACATGGTAAGATTAAACAGGGAATGTGTGCATCTGGTTGTGGGACCAAAAACAGCCTAACATCTAAAGCGTGCCTACCTGGCTTTGCTTGTTAGAAGTTCCAAGTGAAAGATGTGCCTGCCATGATTTTATACCTGTAGTAACCTGTCAATAATGAAATCACGTGATTTTGTAACGTATTCTAGTATAGGTTTACGTTGAATCAATATTCACTATAGGTTGATGGAGCATGTGCTACCCTAAGTAAGCTATCGCTGCAGAATGACAGAGTAACTCCCGGTGAAGAGTTAAAGGACAGCGAGGTTGTTACTACTGACGAAAGATATGAAGGTGTTTCTTTTAGTGGTGGAAGTTTTCCTGAGTAAGTGCCCTTTCTGTGCCTACGTAACTACCAAACTGTTTGTACCCACAGACACTCAGAATCTGCAAATGGACACCGACCTGCACCTCCACTCTACTCAGAAGTATGTCCATCTCTCGATTTACCTTCAACTGAGGATGCAGGTCCATCTAAAGTTCCAATCCCATCTCCACCTCCCATCTCATCTCCTCCTCCTTGCACTCTGTTACCTGAGGAGCTGCCCCAGCAGTTGAGTTCCTCTTCAACAGCTGAACACGAGCAAACACTGTGTGACTTCCAGTGTGCAGCTTGTAAATTTAAAACCAAGTTTACACTTCTAGTCGGGAAACGAGTTGGTCTAGTGAGGTGTTCGAAATGCAAGGAGTGTACGGTAAGTGTGTTACGCAACGTCATTGATTTTTTTGGTGAGCGGGAGCAACCAACTTAACTGTGATAGGAGATCATACTAAAAAAGCACTGGTACATGGCGGTTCCACGCATTATTATAATGCTGCACTTATGCACCAACGTGTAAAATATGCACGTCACGTACCCCAGGATGTACGTAGGCTCTTTTGCCAAGGCTACCTTCGGGTATGGATTTTATTTTTGCAAGGTGGGAAGCCAACTAGACTCATCATGACTTTCGTATCAGGCAAAGGTCGCAGGGATCTGCAGTGGTTTGTCAGTACCACCATTCTATGGGTACCATTGACACTACTGTTCCATAACAGTTCCTTCACAAGATTGAAATGTGTCTCACCTTGTTTCTGTCGCTGAAGACTGCTATACGTTAAGCATTCATACCAAAACAACTGATGCCAACTCTCAGCTGCAATTGATGACACTCATCTGTCGCACTCAGTTGCTATTACACTCCACTACAGTACACAGTTGAGTACTCCAGTCTGCGTGGCACAAAGCAACATCAGCCGAGTCGCCTGCTCTCCATGGTGGACACACTGTTCCCTCCTTATCTCGAGGATGATATGTGTATGTATGTGTTGAATAAGACAAGAGTCAGTCCATGTCCAAGAACCCACTTCGTATTACAATACAACATATGGGACAACCGTTCCATGATACATCATACACAAGATGATCGATATGACCAAGTATTATACTGATCCAATCACGACTAATGTTTACCATCACTCTTTCTCTGAAACGGTTGCACTGAAACATTTTCAGAGGCCAACAGCTGTTCTCCATTTGTGCAGATGTCAGTTGTCTACATCAATCGAGACGCTGCATTGCCTCACATTCATTGCATCGATGTCACTCAATCGAAACCCATATTTTCTCTTGTATGTGTGTAAAAGCAAGCCGCACAACTTGTAGCATCTGTCAACATTGAGCAGCCCAGTGTTGTCACACTCTTCATGCAACCAGTTTCGTCTGCAATACAGCAATCCTGCTTCATTATAGCCTTTCCTTTTAACCTCCGTCTCTTCTTCTGCAAAACCTTTTACTCGTACTGACCCAGGGTGGTACTCAGGCAATGCCAATATATTCTCAATTGTCAACAGATATCATGACCACAAAAAATGTACCATCAGAAACTTCAAACTTTTTGAAAAATCATGACCATCTGTAGATTTCTTAACAATAACTTGCAGGCCTGTGAAGTACTTCGCTTCTTTTACTTCACAGTTAGACAAAGCCAGACAGTCCATTTTCTGCTGAAAATCATAATTATAATGTTTTGCATTACGTATTTTACCAAAACATACAAAGTGGACTGTACCTTTTCATCCAGCAGTTTCCTATCAAAGTGTTTTGCTTTTGGCTCTGCTTTACGTGATATGGCAGTCATCACTCCGTGCACTTTCTCTGATTTGGTAACCCTCACATAGCTGATCAGTTCTAACACTTTTTCTGGTGCTTCTGCGACGTCATGGAAATCTTATTGTCCAAACAGAAATCTCTAAACTTACCATGGGTTATTGAAGAGAAAAAGAAGATATTCAGTCTTGTAGATGATGATCAATTTAAAGACAGATGGATTCATGAGTTACACAGCTACACATTTTGTATATGACTTTGAAAGAGACTGCGGATACTTTGTGACGATGATAGCTGAAGCAAAGCAGCTGATAAAGATACAGAAAGGGAGAATAGGCAACAATTTCAGTCCTCACTGGTCTCTATAGCTGTTACAGTATCAGTGTTGGGCTATATCTTGTATCATGTACTAGTTGCTTCTCTATTCTATGCAAAATATACACACAAGCCCCATGAAAAGCATAAAATATCCTTCCCCTCTATCAAACACGCTTTGTTTTTTAGTCTCTGCGTATGCCCATCAATGGCTATATGTCTGCTGTTGGTCACTCCCGCTTACCAAAAAATGTCAGCTAGTTAACATAATTGTTTCTCTCCTTTCCAGCCGTTGGTACCTCCACATGATGGCAAAGTACATGGGCGTTGTGCGTTCTGTAAATGCCTAATTCTGTATTCACCCACTGCAAAGGCAATAGTTTGTCCGAGGGAGACATGGTATGCAAATCTTTGTTCAGTGGAATTGTGAATCATTTGTAAATGTTCCTGTTTGTTTATTTTTCCTACCACATCTCCTTTCATCTGTCACTTTTTGACACGTGTTACTTTTCACAGCAAGAAACTGCTCTTTGCTTCTACCACAAGTGGGAAAATGATGAGAAGAGTACCTTGTGAGGTGTGCGGTTATGTGATGCGGATCATTAAGGATCCGCATGACCTTGTGTCATCTAACATTCACGTCTGCTCCCAGTGTGGAGAGAAAAATGTAAGTCTAAGGTGGATTACAAACATTTTACGTATGAGCATCTTGTGTATGAGCCCCAAATCACACATGCTCTATGTATTTCATCTTACCACTAATTTACTTAGTCCTGCATAGTTTTTCCTTGCCTGTATTTGTGTACACTACTGAACCTTGAGAATGGCAAGCATTGGCTAACTGGGAATCACATCAGATCACCGTGAATGACTGACTCTATTACACCGGTCATTTAACGCCAAAGTTCGGCTGAAGAGTTACAGTGTAAATGGAGTTGAGGAAAGGTTGTAACATTATTATTGGCATTTATAAACAGGCAACAGTGATTGCTGCTCTCTGTTTATAAAACAAGACTCCAGAAACAGACAGTGTGATGTGTGAACCTAGTAGACCTTATTTCCATGTTTACATCGACATAATACGGTTGTTGATTGCAGCCTAGTAAGAGGGCCCTCTTGTGTCATTCTCTAAGGTTCCTTTATTCATGATTTCATTCATTAAAGTACTAAAGTGCAAATCCTCGGCATAGTGCTAGTGTGTTAAGATGTACATATTATACACTATGCATGCAATCCTTGTGAAATTACATAGTTTTTTCTTTGTGTATCAGCCTATAGGACCTGCTCCTCCTGGAAAGATGTACACGAGGTGTCCCTACTGCAATGTTCTTCTCCAGCACAAAAACAGCTTCTCTGGACGTGTTCAATGCCCAAAAGTGACATGGTAAATTATTTGCATACAAGTGCTGTAATGACGGCAGTGTCCATAGAGTAATTACCGTCTGGAGCTGTTAGGCTTTTGATACCACTACAAGTCACGCGCACATTCAAACGTGCGACCTTTGAAACAGCACCCCATTACCATAATCACCTTTTTTATGTACGTAAAACTGCATTTGAACTATACTTCACAGAAGGATGGGGTATGAAACCATTTAACTTCTTGTGTGGTCTCCTATTCCTAACTCCTCTTTCTAAACTGAACTTACTGTTATGATATGTACCAAAAGTGGGACTTACTGCTCCTACATACTGAGTGAGAGTGTATACACAGTGGCTTCCGAGGTTTGCCTTGTGTTGTATTGTGTTTAAGATTTGAACCCCTACCAGCTGAGTTGCCCTGGTTGCTCAGTAGTAGAGCACTTGCCTAGACAGCAGAGTGGGTTCAAATCCCAGCCAGGGGAGCTCTTCTTTAAGAGCTGTCCTGGATGTGGTTGATTTGTTTGCCCTTGCTTTGCTGCCTCACTTCATTTGTTGACACATGAATCTCACAGACAAAAGCATTAATATTTTTGGGTAAGGGTGCGAAAGAAACAGGCAGGCCATGAAAGACTCCTTTGTTGCAAAGAACCTTATGTCTCTTCCAATAATTCCTGCTACATGGTCAGTTCAGCTGACATTGATGATGAAGCAAGCATTTCCAGTGTTGTTCTGGGTGTAGATGTCTTTGCCTGACCTCGTTGTTGTTTACATGTAGTTAGTATCCCTACATACCAAGTGAGAGTGTATTGTGCCATAGTACTGTTATATAGCATGTGTTAGATTTTACCCCTGCCTCAGTGGAAAGAGTGCACTGCCTAGATTGCAGAGTGTCATGGGTTTGAAATCGCACTCACACGAACTCAATTACTTTAATAAAAGAGTTGACCCTGGGTGTAGTTGTGTTGTTTGCTTTGCGATTGCCTCCAACCTTGTTGTTTAATTGCAAGTACATGATTATCCTCGCAGTAAAAAGATGGTTGAGGTTGGCAACGGAGAAAAGCTCTCAGTGGAATGCTCCACCTGTAAAAAGAATATTGTCTACTATGGTGACAAAAAGGTTGTACTCTGTGGTCACTGTGGAAACACTTCGGTAAGATTCAACACATGTTAACAGTTTTTAGTGTTTGGGAGCGTGAATACTTGAGAATTTGTATCAATAATAATCCTTCAATTGTGGCCAAAGCACCAAGAACTGGCAAAAAGTGCAAGGTTAATAGAAAAGCACTAAAGTCCGAACCATCAGCGTTGATGTGCACTTTACGCATAAACTTAAAGCACCTTTAATTGATGAGCCAGCCACGCCATGTTAAGTGGACTAACCTGTTGACGGAGCTATATAGTCTCTCTGAGTAGCATTATGGCAATGCTGGACTAGATACACATCTCTTGAGTAACTTCATTTCTCACTCATGCGCTGAATAAGCTAAACCTGGTAGGCAAGAAAGGCAGGCAAGAATGAGCCTAACCACCACTGACTGAGGAAAACAGAACACCTCTCATTACCTGGCTAGACCCCAGGAAGGGGAAAGAGCGCCTGGTACGTAAATCTTGAACGTACATGCGTGTATTAACTCAGTCTTTTCCTTTTCCCATCATCACGAAGCATCTCTTACTAGAAGCCGGTACACACAAAAAGCTTCTTCCAGTGTTAAAGGGAATGTGTCAGTTAACCTAGTGCGCACCAAATACAAGACCACTTTTCCATAGACGCTCTTAATGAACACTATAGCGAGTGTGGCCGATGGGTGGAGTTAGCCTCTTGGATAGTGAATGGACAATAAGCAGAGAAAACAAACACCATGGTACAGGCTAATCTCTAATATTCACAAGATATGAAAATTTTAGAAGGCGATTAACCTGCATGTTTGTAGTCACACCTTTAGCATCCATATGTTCTTACAAAGCTGCTTTGTTTTGTGTCCTTTTAAACTTTTCACTTTGCAGTTTGTTGGAAAGCCTCCCGCTGGGAAAATATATATTCGCTGCAAAAACTGCAATGTTCTCCTTATTGTTAACAAAGGTGCCACTGCAGCAAAGTGTCCTGTAAAGACTTGGTAAATTACTTAGTCCAGTAAAGTTATCCCAACAATTAATACCTCCTGTTTTTTCCTCCAGTGGAAAGGTGATGGTGGTTTCATCAAACTGAAGGTAGCCATAAACCACTTTTTACACTAGCCCTATATTATTGCCTCTTATCATCACATGTAACAATGACATTTAAAGGAAGAACCTGGCCCTCTCGTGACGCGCTACCTTACTGTCTGTGTGGCTAACTGCATACCTACCAACTGTAGATATTGTGCTCTGATAAAATATGACGCATGATTGGGGCTTGCATGCCCCATCAAACATGGGCCAAAGTGCATCCTAGGTTTGTCACAAGACAGGGATATGGCGATGACTTTCTGGAGCGCGAGGTGAAAACCCTCAAGGAAAACGAGGCTCGCCGGAGTTCGAGCAGGCGGAGACCTCGACAAGGCGCAAGGCAACGGTGGCGAAGTCTCCGGTCGGTCGCACTGGTGGTAGTAGAATAGGCAGACCCGCATCAAGAGCAATGCGCGGTGGCGAGGGCGCTACGGCGGCGAAGGCTCGCAAAGCCCCACCCCACGGGCCGTGTGCATTCCTGCCTCCTGATCTCTAGAGAGCGAGCGCAGTCCTTGGCTGAACTCTGGTGTCGAGATCGCGGAAGGAAAGGTCTTGTGCGTCCGGATTCTGAATCATGTCAAAGGTGTGTTTGTTATAAGCTGGGTCTCGAGAGCGATGTTGTTTAGTCAGTGTGATCCATCTAAGGTGATACACGAGGCAGCCAAGGACTTTTTGTCCTTTGTGAATCGGAGCCCCTCCCCCTACCATGGTAAAGTAATGCACCTTTTGGCAGATGGTATATTGCAACAAAATCTTTTAAAACCAATTAGTGGTGGCTGAGAGTAAAAGAATACTCGTTGCTGAAGGGTTCTCTGAACTAAAAATGACTGACAGTTGGAAAGTGCAACCGTCTGGAAAGGTGAATTGTAGGCAAGGCATGAGTAAGAATGCCTGTCTTTCCGAGAGCACTTTTAATTATTCCTAGTGGATAAAACTTGTATGCTTTATTTACCTCGTAGCATAACCAGACTAATAATTTGCACCCTGAAAAGGAGGAATATGAAATTGGGATGGCATAATTATTATGAACTGATTTTGAGCTCGTCACGTATGCACTCCCTGTAATAGAATGATCTGGAGAAATTGCATTGTATATAATTTTTCGTATTCATGGAGTTACTATTAGCCAATTTAATGGTTATCCCTTTGGACGCCATGGGTATCTCCTTAAATAGTATTATACCCATATATAAATTCTTATAGACTTATGGAGGCTCTGGGCCATATATATATGCCCGTGGCTCCATGGCTGGCTAAGGGGGTAATGCCTAAACCTTTATGAAAAATATTAGAAAAAGACCAGTGGACAACATACAGGCTATTTGTGTGTTGTAGTGTGTTTGATGGAATACAGTAATCGAATGTATGGAATATACTCCCATCAGAATGTATTGCCTCGATATTGTGTGGGAGTCTATATTTAGGGATATTTTTGCCATAGCGCAGCTTGACACTCGTGATTTTTAAAGGGAATTTCGAGACCTTTTGTTACATATTCCTCTGCCATGCATTTTCTGTGGACTTCACTGGGAGTAGCCATTTGCACACTTGGCTCTGTTTGCCTCTGATTGTGCGTGGAGGCGTATTGCAACCTAAGCCGAAAAAAGGCTATTGCCCCTGCGTAATGAAGGTCAAGAATACGTAATGCTCAGAACGTGGCCACTTGCCTGAATGGCAGGAAGAACGCTACTGAGCACAATGGCCATGACAGTTGGCTCTACACACAGAAGTCACACACAGGTTTTCCTTCACACACAGAGTATTTAATGGAATAGAGGAATATGCTGAAACAAGGTCTAAAAATTCTGAGAAAATTCACTTAAAATCAAATCACGAGCATCTTAGCCGCGCTGTCAAGAAAACCGACTCCCATGCAATATTTAATTAATAGGGTCAGTATGAGGTACATTTTTGATGGCTTTATCTCTTTTGAGTTGTGGATGTTGGAAGAGAATGATGAATAAACTCTCTTATCATTGCCTCAAGTAATCTAGCTGCTAGGTATATACATATAATTACATGGCCATCCCTGTATGAAAGATCTGGGCTTGGTTGGTCGATAATGCTAAATTATAGGCTGGGTATCCTATAGTATAACAACGCATTCTCCTGTTGCATGTAAATATCCATAGGAAAGCAGTAAAACACATTTTTAGCGACAAAACATGTCGCCTGTACATGTGAGGCATACACTATTGCATTTCAGTTTCGTGTATTTAGAGTTACCTCAACGTGCAAGAGTGTCTTTGTTGTTGGACATTGAAAAATTTCCAGTTCTGACGACTCACTCCTATTAGCTGAAAATGTGTTACGCAGTATTTTGTGATCAACAACTATTCCACAATCATCGCCTTTGCTGTTGGAGGACGCTACAAACCAGGAAATGGATTTACAATCATTGGAGCTCATACAGACAGTCCTTGCTTCAGGGTGAGTGTGGTTTCTCTGTTTCATTCGGTCCAGTGCAAAGATTATAGGTACACATGTGCATGTTGTCTCTGGAAACCCTGGCATACCAAAGTATATAATTAAACCACCTGATGCCCTACTCCAAACTAAGTATAACACACTAAAAGTGCAAACCCTTGGCGCACTGCGCATGCGCGATACCGCTGATTGATGGGTTGGGCCAAGAGTATGTGTTTACTCGTGGTTTCCACGCTAGTTCGTCGCGGAGAGTCTGGCATGGACCAGCTACACAAGTAGATAACATGAAAGAGTCGATACAAAACACACCCTTCGTTAATTGTGACTTCTTGAGCCTCAAAGGTACACAGAGGGAGAAGATCACGTCGAGGTAGCCCAGTGTGATTATGCATATTGGCTTTTCGCTTGTTTTCACAGCATATCGCTCAAACACAGTCGTTTCAGGAAAATCGCCTTATTATTTTTCAAGTTCTGAAGCCGCGGGTATCGCTAATAGGCCGCTTCGTAGCCTGTAGTGCCAGAATATGCGTCGACACACACACACAGACAGACAAAGTAACCCCTCGCTGCGCATGCGTACCGAGGGTTAATTATACAATACGCATGTGTCAAAACAAGGTCTCAAGGCAAAGGCAAAAGCAACAACACTACACCCAGGACAAACATGGTACAAACTGCAGGTATTTAGATGTAGATCAGAGCATGCCTATTTTTGTATGAGGTCATTGAACACAAGATACACAGTTTGGATTCCTGTGTTCGCAGATGGCCATTGACCTATATATTCATTTGTCATCCTTTTTCCTAGACCTCCTCTCTCTGGGAGGTCAAAGGTCATACACCACTTATTATGGAGAGGAAGACCTTTGGAAAGGGCTAGCTAGATGTTCATGGTTATGATAATTCACCCAGGTTAAGCCCCGCAGCATTCGAAATGAAGCAGGTTATATTGGAGTTGGTGTGGAGACATATGGTGGAGGAATCTGGCACACCTGGTTTGACCGTGATCTGAAGCTAGCAGGCCGTGTTATTCTGAAGGTAAAGTATTCATTGAAATGCAATATTATGACATACTTTGTGTTGCTCAGAGTAACAGTGGTTTACTTCATCGGCTGGTGCACATTGAGTCACCCATTCTGAGGATACCTAACATCTGTATTCATCTGGCTAGAGCTGACGTACACAATGCTTTTGCTCCCAATAAAGAAACCCATACGTAATGTTCTCTAGTGCATATAATGGAGGTGTGCTTACATTATGATTTCCTCAGTGTCCCAGTACTGGCAACAGCTCTGCAACAGAAGTTGGAAGGAGAGCCAACCGCCCTCCCACAAGGATGTCCAGTAAGTTTGCTAACTCATTACCCACTCTTTATTTAGCATTATGGCATCACCTCGGATTGCTATACACAAGTACTATACTGCTCATATTCACGTATGTGCAGGTTTTGCAGGGTAACGGTGCTTAAAGTAGCTTATAAGTCTAAGAGATTCGGAAGACACGGAATTCGGCTAGGGCTTTTCCGCTTATATCCCTAACACTGATCTCTGTTACTGTAGGCATCCAACCATCAATCCCTTCTGATATCATTGCTAAGCAAGAACTTGGAATGTGCTCCTGCCCAGATAATGGACTTTGAACTCTACTTGTCAGATACTCAGCCTGGTGTGAGTTGTATGTTTTACTGGGCTCCAGTAGTTTTTGCCCGATCAGTTTACCTTGCCAAATATAATACACCACAAAAGCATTTAATTTTGCTTGCTTTTCAGACTATTGGAGGTGCTCTGGAGGAGTTTATATTTGCCCCACGAATTGACAATCAGCTAAACTGCTATGCAGGGTTACAGGTAAGGGATATCAGCACACATTAATTACAAGGAGACCACATTATTATGCCCTACACCATACCAAAAACCATTCATATACCATAATTGGTCTTTAGACTACAGGTGATAATTAACATGCTGTGTACTGTGGTTGGTAGCCACAAAGTCTTATGAATGTGCACTCAGACAGATTGAATATTTCTTATGTTAGACTACAGTTGTCGTGTGCAGATGGATTGAATCCCTTTCAGCATATCCTATAGATTGACAAGTTTTTTCCCTGCAGAATATGGACCATTAGGAAACAGGCAATTTAACTTTTATAATTGTGTTTTGGCTTCCTATGACATACATTGTACAGTGTAACATACGCCACTTGTTCCCTGTTAAAATTTGCAATTGCAATCCAGCCCTATCCCAGCTACACCTCAAATGTAGGGCATGGCCTCTATTTGATTTGTGTTAGCAGCTGGTACCGAAGTTGTGTGCTTTCTCTACGTGTGTGTAGGGTTTGCTGAATGGATTGGATACACTGGTTGATGACAGCAACGTTAGGATGCTGGCTCTTTTCGACAACGAAGAGGTCAGGTCCTGATATTGAGTGCATTTCCTAACTATCATAAGTCATGTCCATTTAGTGCTTGCGTCAGAGGTATTGTACATGCAGGTTGGGTCTGAAAGTGCTCAAGGTGCAAACTCATGCTACTTGGAGTTTCTTTTGAGGAGGATTAGTGCAGGTAGACACAACGATCTGCATCACTATAAGGATAATGTTACTCCACAGGTGGTGAGTCAAGTGTGGCTTTTGAAGAATCCATGCCTAAATCATTCCTCATCAGCGCTGACCAGGCACATGCTGTTCACCCGAATTACGCGTATGCTGACGCAAAACATATAATATAGTAGCAATGAGAGTGTTCTTGCTGGATGGTATTCTAGAATACACTCTAATCCATGTGCTTATAGTGAGGTGCCGTACTTCCACAGCTAAGCATGCAAAGGTAACAGTGATACCTCTGTAGTTTGTTTCGTATCCTTTTAGGCACAAGCATGAGAAAAACCATCGACCATTGTTTCATAAAGTAAGGACTTACAAATCATATTCCTCTGTTGAGGCTGGTTATCTATCAGGGACCGGTGTTAAAGTTTAATGGAAACCAGAGGTATGCTACGACTGCTATTACAGCTTCAATGTTGAGGGAAGTGGCAGAAAAATGCAAAATACCTCTACAGGTATATACAGGGGCAAAATATTTTTTCGCATTTATTATGCCCCATGCACACAGGAAGTAGTTGTTGCGAATGACAGTCCCTGTGGTAGTACCATTGGTCCTATGATGTCTGCAAAGCTTGGAGTGAGGACTGTGGACATAGGAGGACCTACACTCAGCATGCACTCCATTCGTGAAATGTGCTGCACCTCAAGTGTCTACCAGTCCATTAAGCTCTTTGAAGTAGGCTAGCTAATTATTGCGGAAAATCAAATTTTTTGTATTCTTTTCTAGGAATTTTACAAGAGCTTCCCACAGGTTGATCACAGTTTCACAGCTATGTGAACAAAAATAATATTCATAACAAAAATATAATGTATAATACAAGTTTCTTTACAACAGTCATGAACAACAATCACAATTTTTTCTCAGCATGCAATATCCACTGGCAGTTTTGATTCAATCTCTGCCATTGTGAAATGCTCCAGCTCTTCTGGTTTCTTCACCCACATTCCATACCCTTTTGTACGAAAGAGTTTGAACAGAGCAATTTTTGCTTGTTGGTAGGCAAGAGAAGCTTTCTTTACATCGCTGTAGGTTGCTTTTGGACCAGTCCCATTTGCCTTCACGCAATGGGATGCAAATGACGAGAACAAAGAGGCTTTACTAATTCTTGGTACGCCAGGGCCTGGTTCCAGTCTTCCCGTCACTCCGTTTGTCAGTTCTGCTTTCTCATCACCAAATGCCCAGTTTAGACTCAAGGAGCTGGTCTTTTCAGTGTGGCGCTTCAGTTCATCTCCCCCTTGTGCTCTTCCTAGTTTTGGATGCCTGAGAGTAAAGGTGGCTGGTAGGCTGGATTCAATGTCCTTGGCTCTACAGCAGACTGCTCTAGACAGATGCCCATGGTGGTGGAGGGAGCCCAGTGTCAGAGAGCTCATGTACAGGGGCTCCATGAACTGACTCAGCAAGGCACCTTGAAGACCAAGCACATTCCATCTCAAAACCTTGTCACTGCAAGACATGGTACGCATGCGTTCTCCATGTAAAATCCCATCCCAAGTTTGCTGGCAATTTTCGCCCACTGGAACTGTTCCCTCACCATCTTCAATTTTTGTTCGCAAAATGCCCTGCTTCTTGTTTTCAATCGTAGGCATATGAGTATTGTCTGCAGGCGGGACGCGGTTTTGGTCATCTTCTCTAGAAAAGAGTCCACCGTCTCCACATGGTGCAGTGCTGATGTAGAGATGGAACTTCAGTGCTTCACGGACCTTTACAAGTCCAACTGTGTCACTTGCAACAAACACTGTGCTTGTGTTGGTTAGTTTTGCAAGCAGCTCCTTGTATAGAAAGCGCATCAATGATCTTCTTGCAACAACCTCGGCGTGCGAATCGTTTACTACCAGCCCTTTAGGGCTTGTCTTGTCACCAGCCACACACCGAGTACCACTTCCCATAGAGACAACCTTCATATCATTAGTATTTGTGTCTTCCATAATGAAAGCTGCCAACACTTTTCTCCCTGGTTGTGGAGTTTGAATACTCTGCTGCAGTTGCAACAACATAGAGTGGCTCATGGCATGAATGCGATCAAGTTCGAGTGATTGTGATGTGGCTACTTGCCCCGGTAGTAATGGTGCAGGTGGTGTTTGAACTGTACGAATACTAGCCCTAATAGATTGCAGAGCTAAGTCAGCAGCTTTTCTTTTTGCATCCTTCAAGTTTGATGACTCTGCTTTAAATTGGTTGTTTCCAAAAGTTGCAGCAACCACAAATGTTTTTCTGTGAGATGGACCATGTTCTGCAATAAGTGGAAATGTGAGTGCTACTTGGTTGCTTTGGCAATACTCATTCAGTGCACTGACTGGGTTTCTGGTGAGATCGCTAACATAAGTGGCAGAATTACTACTTGGTGGTACCTCTAGAGATGCTAAAACCCACTGCTCTGGTGTTGTACCAAGACACCTCACTTTACCCTGTCTTTTGAGGTTTTCCAGTTGAGAGTTGACCTGCGATCTTGTAGTGTTGATCCCAATTTCCCTAGCTACCTCCAATGCAGTTAGGCCTGCTCCCGGCTTGGCTCCCAAGACAGCTAAAACCCGACTCTCAAAACTGTGTGTGTCTGTTTCCATTGGCACCTCAGTATTGTCACTGCTACCAGAAACTGCCCCTCTTCCCACAATACTCCACTGTACAGGGAAAGTTGATGACCCTTCCACCTTACCGTCTTCTTTGAGCTGTTCCAGATGTGTCGTAATAGCCTGACGCCCGACGTCACACCCAGTCAATTTCAAAAGCTCTAATGCCGTGTAGGACACACCAGGTTTACTACCAAGTACGACAAGAAGCCTCTGTGGAACATTCTCTACAGGGATGTGGGAAAGATCTGAAGATGTATGCTGCATTGGAAATGATGTCTGGGACTCTTGAACTGTATTTTGATGTTGCTGCCTGGAACACAGAAGGGTCCACTGGGGAGCTCCCTTGCTGTCATCGCGTACTATGAGACTGTCCTTCGCCATAGCGTACAGGTATGGATTGACTTCTTTACGTGTACTGTAGCCAATTGCTTTAGCAATCTCCAGAGATGTGCAAGACTTTCCCTTTCCTGACAGAAATGCCAAAATTTGCCCCTCAACTCCGCCAGCTGGTGATGCACCTGGGCTAGATCGAACCATCTTTTGTTCACTGGACTGGCCTGAGGCTGAACCTGAGGCTGAACTTTGACTTAGTGACCACATGGCGGGAATATCACCAACTCTGCGGATCCTACCCTTCTTCTGAAGGTCATAAAGCGTTGGGTTAATGTCTTTCCTGGTTTTCAGTCCGACACTGTGGGACAACTCCAGGGCAGACATTTGTCCGTTGGCCCCAGCAAGAACATCCAGAACACGATCACTCAGTGACCCTGACATCGTGACTGCACAACAAGGAGAGGGAATGGTTTAATATTAGTATGTACTGCGCGGAGACCTGCTCAGACACTCTACTGCCAGGTGTGGTGTGCTGTTATTATAACCCTTGTCTGGCATGCACAGAGAGGGTTACGGTACTTGTCTGCTACCACATTCTCTTCCACCACATGACACAAGCCAGCCAAAATTGGTACTAATGGATTCAGCATTACACTGTAAATTTCATAATGACACTGCTTTCAAAAGTTACAGCGTAATTACCACTCACTTACCTCGACCGCATTCTACATACCTGTACTGTGAAGGCATTAGAGTTACAACGGAGGGCAAATGTCGAGTCTCGCGATGCTATTTACAAGTTAGCTAGCCCGTGTCAGACTCATGGAAAGCTAGTGAGACGCAATGATAGTATAGTTCAGCCCATCAAGCAGCAGTTCTGACCTAATGCCCATAACTGGGAGTGGGTATTTCTAGCATGCTGAGGTATATTTGCCACGGTGATTTACGAGAGCTGGCTCTTGCAATGGCTGTTTTCCTAGGGGATTTTATATCTACTGCTGACACTTCACTGTGAATCTTTGAGCCGCAATTCTGTCGCTTCTGAGCAATCTCTTGGCAGTCCTCATGGACATGGTGCAGGATATAACATGTTTTGGCCCTCCAATGGTGTAAAAGCACTGAGAGGTTGCTCCAGTTATGGTTCTGCTATGAATAACTATATGCAAGCTAGATAGAAAACAATATTCCACACATTTTAAATCCTGTTTTGTCAATGCATGTGAACGTAATATATAGGGAAAAATCACACTAAAGAAATGACTGCATTGGCTCACGGATGTTTGTGTATGTCATAAGAGATTTGACAGTACTATTAAATTTTGTATGACTAATTGGAAGGTCAAACTCACATCTCCCATTGTGAGTACTTGTATAATGAAAAGCGCTGAAGTACAAACCTCGGCGAACTGCGCATGTGTGATACCGCTAATTAATGGGCTTGGCTATAAGTATGCGTTTACTCTTGGTCTCCCGCTAGAGTAGCTCGCGGAGAGTCTGACACGGGCTAGCTACAGTAGTAGATAGCATGCGGGAGTCGATACACGCGATTCGTTGTGACTTATTGTGCCTTCAACGCCATAACTTCTGAACGCGGCACTTCTAATCGCCATTTTAAAAATAGAGCCAGTGTAGCGCTGAACCCGTTGGTGTCGCTTTTTTGTACCTGTTTGTTGCACGTAGAACAGACCAAGCACTGTAACCCTCGCTGCGCATGCACATCGAGGGTTGATGAAAAGCACTAAAGTGCAAACCCTCGGCGGAGACGCGCATGCTCGCTAGAGAAGGGTTCCACGTGAGGAAGACCGACCTACACAGTCTTCTGTGAAAGGCTACAAACAAGGTAAGCATGCTACCAAGTGAGACTCATCGTTCGCTGTGCATTTGCCATGTTTTAGCTCAACAATAGGCTTGGTAAAGGTTCTCTGCAGAATTTTAGCCTATGTAAAAAAACTGTTTAACGGAATATGTCGCGCATACGTGAACAGATTTCCATATATAGGCTATAGAAGAGTTGTCAGAAACAATCACTAAATGAAATAGCATGTTGCTTTGCCAACTTGTATGCAATATGGCAGATGCCCTTCCATTCTACGAAGGTCAGTCATGTAAGACAATACGTTAACTGCATGTTTTGTTCCACAGATGAGTGTGGCCATCTTTCAATGGACATAATCTGGCCTAATAATCACATGACTGCATGCGACACATTATGTAAGTGTCTACCGAAAAAGCTTCTACTTCACAGCACAAACTGCTTAGCCCCACAGAACCGTAAATGCCGGAGGGATGGTGTTAGACCGCTACACAGTTGGTTATGCACGTGAGAGGCCTGTGCACAGATATCTTACCCAATGTCGGGAAATCGCATGGATACATCAAAAATACACATAATCTAATAGACTACAGCCAAAAATTCTTTTACTATAGTGCAGGCTCTAGATTATGCTCTATGCTAAACCATAGGATCATTCAGAGCTGAGGCTCTACTGTTCACCTTGACGAATCATGATTTTATAACAGTTTTGTGTGTGCCACCCGGTAAACTTTCAGGCGAAGTGAACTTTGAACCTTCCCTCTCCAGCGCGCACACCCAAGAAAACGGCCGCCGCAGGAACGTTCCCAGCCTGGATTCTACGAGGTGGCACGTACCTCGAGGCGCTGAGTACACCTGTGAGTCCACCTCGCCTGCAAATCCACTGTTTTTCGGTCCTCTTCTCAATCAGAATTGTGACGACACAGATCTCTGTGTCGTCATTCTGTTGTGCGCATGCGCACGTAAGCTCTCCGTATACGTCCCCATCAGGGCTGGCGGGTTCAGCAACGGGATATCACAGTATCTAGGGATGATACAGGTTATCCGGAGAGTTCCCTTTGTACTATGCAGACGCCACTTTAGCTATGGTCAAAGAGCTTGTTTGTAAAAACTTATCGATTTCTTCAGATATGGATTTACACAATTATTAGAAATCCACTACCTGTCGTTTTTCATTTTTACATGTAATCACAACAATCCCAGGCCATACAATATGATATAAACCGATCAAGTGTGCTAGATATACCCAGAATGAAAAACTTTGTACTCATATTATTATGCAACCCATCATTAATTACAAGATTGTATGCAACAACATTCAGCCCCAGGCAAAAAGGTGTTAGCCATTACCTTTGAGATTAAATTTGGCACACTTATGTACCATGATACAAATGTAACAAATTTGTAAACAACAAACCTGCTTGGGCTAAAAACCTTTTAAGAGGTTTGTTGCTCTATAGATGATCTACATTGGTTCATTTACACCATCTCAGCCAACTTGGTAACGAGGTAGAAAGGCAAGGCAAGGCTAACAAGTCAACTACACCCATGACAGCTCTATCTTTAAGAAAAGAAGAAGAGCTGCCTTGGGTGGGATTCGAACCCACGACACTCTGCAGTCTAGGCGAGTGCTCTACCAACTGGACAACTCAGCTGGTAGGAGTTCAAATCTACAACACAACACAAGACAGAGGCAATTTAGCCATAGCACAAATTGCCATTACTAGATCTTTGTAGCTCAGTTGGTAGAGTGCTCACCTAGACTGCCGAGTGTCGTGGGTTCGAATCCCACCTAGGGCAGCTCTTCTTTTTTCTGTCCTGGGTGTTGTTGACTTGTTTGTTGTGTTGTGCCTTTGCCTTTCTACCTTGTAGTTTCACCTGCGTGTTTGTTGCACATCATGCCAGAAATGAAAAGACAGCTATGGTGGTATAGAAAGAAAGGAGGCGAGACATCTAGGGATGACCTAGTACATGTGATGCTCATGCTTCAAACTGCAGACATTATTTGTTCATGTATATTTTCCTCCAAGCAAGGATTGGATATTCTTGCAAATGTGAGTGTCTGTCTTCCCTCGTACAATGTGCAGCTATGACTCATTTCCTAAGCACATGAGACAATGCACAGGTGTTGCCTCTCCGAAAACGTCCATGTTTGCTCAACTAACCAGTACAATGCTGCATTCTTGGCCCTCTAACAGAGTCCTTTCACCATTTTCTACACACTACATATTCACTAAAGAAATGTTTTGAGTAGCGACAATAGGGCTTGTGTGAAATGGGAAAATTAACACAAGCTAGCAATGTCAGGTTGAACTATGAAACCACACACATCTAGGTCATCCCTTTCTTTTCTCCTTTCTCTTTATACATTTGTATTTTATAATTATTATGAGCTGGCAATAATTATGATAGAAGATAATTACACTCAAGCGGTATATCTATAAATATGTTGTCCATTATATACCTCGGTTCATACTGTTGCAATGCACATCTAAATACTCATGCTGCCTCTCAAGCTCGCCTGTGTGTGTTGCTGCATAATCCATAAACAATAGATATTCCTCAAGTCTGGACCATCAACCAATTGAGGAAAGGATACAAACTTCCTTATCTTCCGATAGAACATTGATGCATTCATGTGAATCTAAAACTACTCACACATGATTGGTGGTGCGTGACCAGCAGTGTACATAAAGCTTGAGCCTCACACACGGTTACACACAAGACCATCATTGAATGTCTGTGAGTATGGTGCACCTCATTTATATCATCGCAACGGTGGTCCTTACACACCTAGGTAACTTGGTTTCTCAATTGTTCTTTGTCACTGGAGTATTTTAATGCAGTGCTGGGGCAGGATGTAATTGAAAACATTGGATTTGGACAGCCAACAGACTCAGCAAAAGAGGGTGAGTCAGAGATGGTCAGGATCCGTCTCGAGCCAGAAGGAATCAGCGAAACTGTTACTGGGCAGATAATCCCTCTCAGCCTCACTCAGTACAGGAACTATGAATTCATTACACACAGGACCTTACCAAATAGTGTAATAGATGCCATTGATGCTATTGAAGATCCTGCTGAGTGTAAGTTGTTGTTATTTACTATGTACGTATGAATGCAACAATATTCCATAATCACAGTTAATGAAGTGAACAAAGACTTTAACAATACCGTGATCAATTTCACTCTTAGTCCTGGACAAGACCGATTTGAAATTGACATGTTGAGTATAATCAATAGTGATAGCATAAATGAAGCAGAAGAGCAATTTATTCTCGTGCTGGAGTATTCATCTGAGGCTGTGCTTGAACTGGATGAAGATGGCGGAGTATTGGTTGTTACCATTTTGGATGATAATCGTGAGAGCATTCTGTACTCAGCATCTCCAATACTCTAACTTTTCTCTCTCTCCACTGCAGCAATTATTTTAGTCTACAGTTCTTCCTCATACACATTCCCTGAATCTGATGGGGTAGTGGAAAATGTCATTAGAGTGCAGAAGCATTCAGCGTCTCCACCTACAGAAGTTGATATCCCACTTATCATAACTATCAGGAATGGCACTGCGATAGCCACAGCTGGAGAAGGTTTATGATTATATTCCTCTTCTCTTTTTAATTACTTGTTATGTGCAGGTGGGGATTTTGTATTACAAAACTACATTCAAGCAAAGGTCATCCGTATTAATGAAACTGAACTAGCACTTGATCCAATTATGATCATTGATGATGACTTTCCGGAGGGGAATGAAACATTTTCCTTGTCACTTATGAAGGGAGAAGGAACAGATACATTGAATATTTTCCCGTCAACATCTCCTGTGACAGTGGTCATCCATGACAATGATGGTATGGGAGAATGCTTTACCTAAGCACTAATCATTTTGGCTGTGTTTTCAGAGGTTACAATTGGAATTGAGTTGGCAGTGTACTCGGTGATGGAGGGGGTGTTGGGGTTTGTAGAGGTGTGTATCACTGTAGCTGAAGAGCAAAGTCTGAACCATGGTTATGGCAGTGCTGTCATCAATATCTCAACTAGCACCGGCACCGCAACAGGTGATGATGTGAGATGTTTGTACATTGCGTACAGTGAAAGCTTTGAGTAAAAAAGGGGCGCAGGGGACTAGGTGACAGAGGTGTACAAGTATGGGGCAGAAAAAGAGCTGTCCTTTATTCCGAGGTCCTATTTCGGAGATTTCGCTGTGTTTCATGTTTAGCATGCACATACATTGCATAATGCAAACTTGATAGTGGCATCACTTGGCTACCATCTATGACAAATTTCCTTGTGATTCCTCAAAACTTCCTCTGTGTTTTCCTCATTACCTGTAACGTATCCTCTTCACAGAGGATTAACCACTAAAGGAAATATGCAAGGCAGTGCACACAACCATGAAATGACTTCTGTCATCATCAACTGGCGAGCGAAGCGAGCCTACCTAGTAATTTCAATGGGGAATTACATTATATATATACATGTTCGGGCACTGCACATACTGTAATGTTATACTGCACAAAAACACGTGTGAAATATTTAACTGCTCGTTCTCGCTTGCAAACAATGCGTTGCATTCCTCTAGTATACAACCATTTTCGTATTCACAGGTCATGACTATGTCAGTTCTCCTTTCCCAAATGAACTGATCATCATGGCAGGCCAGGAGAGAATGTGTTCCAACATTACCATTATTGATGACATATTTGTTGAAGCAAGGGAAGAGTTGATGGTCATTCTTGAGACGGAAAGCACCACTTTCAGTGCTGGTGTGGAATACTTCAGAAAAAATGCTACCATTCAAATATCTGATAATGATGGTTAGCACATAATATTTTGAAGACCCCAACCTCGTTTATTATCATGATTTTTTAGGTGCTGTTGTGGGATTTGCTCAAACAAACTACACTGGTGATGAGGGTGCATACGTGGAAGTGTGTGTTATAGTCCGTTCTCTTGATCAGATGGCATTGAACATGAGTGACTTTGAAGGACATTTTGCTATCAGTGGATTAGGTAATGACCCTGCTCCTAGAGTAAATTACCAAGGGATTGTACGTGGCATCTTGATACATTTATTGATGGTATTGGTTGAGTCTTTTTAGCAGGAGAGAATTAGTCACAAAGTCGTTGGGAAAAGTCGGAAAGCATTGTGAAAGCTGATAATTTGTGTGTCAGCTAGGTAGTGGGATGATTCATTTGTAAAAGAGGATAGGCAGGGGCTGGGAAGACTTATTAGGAGTAAGATTATAAGTTGTGAAGAGAGGTAACTAGGGTTTCGTTCATATAAAGTGTGGAATAAGGTTGTAGAGAAGGCAAATTATGTTAACAAAAGGCATTTTGTGGTAGCATTGAAGAATAGGTAAGTTAGGAGTCGTTATCAGCAGTTCTAGGTTCTTGCAGAAATGGATCAGAAGGTGAGCTTGCCTGTTTCAATTGGTCTGCTGCGACATTTTATGATAGACAGAGGCACTGAGACTGGTAGTATAATTATAGTGATGGGCTTGTCTGAGAGCTTCAGAAGTATGGTATGGTTGTGGTTGCTCTGGTATATGGGGTTAGAATGAGGGTGTTTTACCACCACAGTGGAGAGAGGGCCTGAAAGGTAACTGCTAGCTACATAATCATGCTAAGTAGCTACGTGTGGTTTGTCACCATCTTGTTTTCGGTGTTTATAAACCAGCTTTTGATAGAAGTTCAGCAGCCTGGATTAGAAAGTAAAAGAGTTGGTGGCCTATTACGGATTAGAAAGTAAAAGAGTTGGTGGCCTATTATTGCTTATTTGTGAATGGCTTTGTGGTATGAAAATTAACATGCAGAAGCTCAGGCAGGTAAAGGCTAATGAGTGGTGAGGACATGGGCTACATATGTTGCAGAGATAAGGCTAAGCCAAGTATAACTTCAAGCCACGTAGAAGTGCTGGAGGCAGTAATTGGGCTCAGGTTTAGATCAGGAAAATTAAGGATTAAATGAAAAGTCATCAAAGAAGAAATTTCGAACTCGTGCTGAG